TGATAATTGCTGGGGTTTCTTGCTCAAGGGTTCTGTAATTTTTTTGGACACTGCTCAAATTTTTTGACATGAAGCCTACTGGATGGCAGGTCTTCCACTCAGGCCCTTGTCCATACAGTGCACCCACTCCATAGAGTGAGGCATTGCAGATGAGTTCTATGGGCTCTTCTTTTTGCAGGTTGATTGGCCACAACACCAGGTACTTACATGCCAGATCTTTTATCATCTGGAAGCATTGGTCATGCATTTCCCTCCACAGCAATGGATGTCCATTCCTTTGTAGCCCAGTTGGTGGCATTGTGTACACTGAAATATCTGGCATAAATTGTGCCAGGTATTCTATGAGGCCAAAGAACTGTTGAACCTCATTGAATGACTTAGGCACTCTCCAGTTCCTAATTCAAGACATTTTGTTAATTCAATGGTAGGGGTTGTGTCAACATCATTACTCTGCTCCCTCTCTCTGTCTCTAACTTGGGGGCTTCAAAGTTGTTATTTTCCTGTCAATGAGGACAGGTATATGTGTAGCTACACAGGGAGTATGTAACTATGAACTAAGCAATGTCAAAAGTCAAAAGAGCAACAGGAAATGATGGAAATTAACTGAGATCAATGTAATGATGGCCATGAGGCCAGTATAGTGTCAGCAATCAAAAGAGCAACTGAAATAAAGAAAGTGCAAGGGAGCACAAGTGTTCCAAAGGGAAGCAAACAATAACACAGTAAGAGTGACAGAAATGCTGTCACACACAAAAGGTGTTTGGTGAGGTGGACATGGATACAGCTGATGAATGGTGATGAAGACCATAGCCCTCATGTGAAGAAGGATGGCCAGAAATGTCAGCAGTCATCCCTCACACAAGAATGAGTCATCAATGCCAAAGAAAAAGAAAGGAAGCAAGTTAGGCACCAGTAGAAATTCTTAAGTGCCCATGTACAGCATTCCAGTTTTCAACATATCTCTGCCATTTCTGCAGGTACCAAAACCATTCCCACACTTGCTTGTAGTGCTCATTCATGCAATCCTAACTTCCAAAATTGCAGAGGATCTGCATACTTCACATGTTTCTACAGCTCTCCCTCCAAAAGATGCTCATTTCACTAATTCCTCTGGTTTGGCCACTTCCACATCAATCATTTCACTTGTCCCCTTTGCTAGGGACCATGGCTATGTATATCTACCAGGAGTTCCTACCAGCTTCTGTCCTGAAGCATTCTGGTACATCCCATCCTCATCTGCCCCCTCTCAGCCCATCCAGCTTGGACAGCATGTTCTTTTTGTCAGTATGACCTCTATGAGGACATTCTTTGGTCACTTCAGGTCTGTCACTCACTTAGAAAGGTCTTATGTGGTCATTTCAGTCTCTCCAGTCCAAGAAGCATATGGATCCTTCCTCCCTGCTCCCTGCAATGTCTTCATTCCAGTCTTGTCCATCATTCTTCCAAAATTGTGACAGCTACAGCATAATCTACTGTTCTCCACTCTGCCTGATCACATCCATGACAAGTATGATGCACATCTTGCCTCCTTATTGCAAGATACAGCAGAAGATGCTCCCCCTTTGTCCTCTCTTCCAACAGAGCCTCATACATGAAGTTTTTGTTTGCTTCACTGAGAGGACAGTTAGGGGAGAAAGTTGCAATCCCCTATGCTCCTGTCATCCCACAGACCCCCAAAGCTTGACCCCTGTTGACATCTGATTCACCCTGTCCACTTTTGGATGTACTATATCAGCATCAGATCAGTGCTGCCTCTCTGTCATCCCACCTTGGCCTAGAAGAAATCTCTTTGAGATTTGACATGCACAGCCTCCCCCTAATGTGATTCCAGTGCACTTTCCCAGTTCCTGACACTACTTGACTCATACTTTGACATTCTGACTGTCTTTGACTCACCTATTGCCAATACTTACCAATCTATTGACCTTGCTTACTGATTCTTTGCTTTTTGGCTTACTTATCCTTACCAATGCTTACCAATGCTTTCTAAGATGATTATCCATTCCTTACATTCCTTACTCATCAGTTACCAATCACTTACCAAGTATTTGCACCTTGTTTTCCATAGGCAATGCCCCTGTACTGTATATAAATCACTGTACTTAGATAGCTGAATAAGGAGAAGACATCAGAGAGCCCCCCTTGCTCACATTTTTCATCATCACTCAGTAATTTGTTCATCAGCCTTGATAGTTGAGACTTTATTAAGGGTCTATCTATCATCTGCTTCACTCCAAGTCCTCCCTGAGCTCAGTGCAGCTTAGGACATCAAATTTAGTCATCCTCCATCCTTCTGTAGGCTGACAGCAGTCTACCCCCATTGCATCCTCTTGCATTCCTGCTCCTTCTTCATTGGGAGCGCCCCCAACCCTCAGCACTCATCTTTGAGTGTTACAGCTCACAAAAACCCACCCAAATCAAAGGTTCTATCATCTAGGTACCATGTAGGCACACCACTACTCACTTTTATTGTCATTCATGTTGGTTTTGGTTGGTTTCCACCACTGAACCACACTTTGACTCACAACACACTTACATAACCAATAGTGTAGGCCCAAAGAGCACAAGTGAGCAAGAACAGGAAACCTGAAACCTGACAGAAGCATCAGACTTTCATTGCAATGGCCAGGGAGTGTCTCCAGAGGTCATGCAATGGCAGGGGAAGTGACTCAAACAAAAAGGGTGGAGTTTTGGGTGACCTGGAGCACAGAGGGTGTCAAAGATGCTCAAGAGGGGTTGCATTTGCATCGCTTCTGTCAGAATGCCTGTAGAAGCTTAGTAGACCTCCTATTGATATGATACCAACACTCCTAGTGTAGGGAAATTGCTCTCCCCACATTGGACCTATATGGAGCTGTACATGAGTTCACATGTGACAAGTGTAGTCACTGTGTGGATCACATAGCCAAGGGGCTACTGAATGGTAATCTGTCTCTAGTCAGGGTTCTTACAAATAACAAGAATCATGCTTGATGGGAGTAGGAAAGGGGTAGAGAAGATGGAAGGTGTGCTTTGATGAAGACACCAAATCTTAGTGCCTGGTGCCCTAGGATGGCCCTTCACCTACTGGCATATCGCCTCCAGTGTATGGAAGGACATCGAAGGGACGCCCTTCAAGCAATATCAATAGCATGTAAAGACATTTGGCATGTGGCTCAACCCCAATTAACATTGGATGAACCCTTAGGGAATGCTATGATTGACCTGCAACTGCAGAGTGTCATGGCCCCTAATGTCCAAATATACCCAGCCACAGTGATAATTGAAGTGCCATGGGGAATGGTGTGGATAAATAGAGACAGGATGGTAGAGCACTTGGCACATGCACCCCAATCAGACCAACATAAATTGCAGCTCTCTCTCATATATTACTCACTCAATATAAGCTGATTACAGGGCTGCAGGGGAAGGATTTACACTCAAATTATGTAGTGCAGCAGCCTGTATATCTCAATCTTGATTGTGTATTTTGTACCAATTGTCTCGAGTTTGCCTTCCCCCACAGTAGGAAAAGGGCTTTGTTTGGTCAACTTTGCCCCCTTGCACAAGAGGTGTGAGTTTTACTGTCCACAATTGTGCATGTTTGGGTATTTTGTGGACTTGTAAAAATTTTCAAGGCTTAGCAGTTGTGCCCCACTACATAGAATCCTACCAAAGTACTACACTTTTGGTAGGGGCTTGATAGTCAACAAAGCAGACTCTACACTACACCTATTAGGCAGTTAACTACACAACACAATGCTACACTTTTGGTAGTCACTTGATAGTCAAAAAAAGAAGACACTACACTACACCTATTAGGCAGGTAACCACACAACACAATGCTACACTTTTGGTAGTCACTTGATAGTCAAAAAAGCAGACACTACACAACACAATGCTACACTTCTGGTAGTCACTTGATAGTCAAAAAAGCAGACATAATACTACACTTTTGTTGGTCAAGCAAAGATGAGATCCTTCATTACCAGCATTCTATAGTATGACAGCCTGTAGTTCAGAAAAGGCCAATTCACAATTTTTAGCGGAGTTTGAATTGCTCTGCAGGAGTTTGAAATCATTGCCATGATCTTGCACATCCTGGAACTTGGTATTGGACAACTGCAGGAAAAGTTGCACATCATTTTCATCATACATAAGCAGATGTTGTATATTACTTAGCAAAATTAGCAAAATACATGAAATACACAAAATAGTTGTTAACCATCAGTGATGCTTTGGGTTCTCCCTTAATTATATCACTAGCCCTGGGCCCTGTTGGCCCCAGGGTCCCCTACATGGTCATTCTGCTGGCATTTGTCAGTTGAGGAGTGTCACTCCTCAACTAACCAATGCCAGCTCAGCTTTCAAAGGAAGAGCTTCATCTCATTTGCTTTCACAATGCTTCAAACCATTCAGTTGTAGTCATAGCAATTTGATGGCAGACAGGAGTTATACAATTTGAACAAGGCAAGTCTATAGTATAGTCACATTTAAACATGCAATCCTCTCAAAACTTCATTGAACACTACATTCATAGACTTGTTTGTTTGGTGTCCTTGGCCATTGTGCAGCACCTTGATGTTCCTTGGATGGGTACATCTGGACAGAGCAACATATATTTGCCCATGAGAGAACACAGGTGTCCTGAGGTCAAGGCCCACATGTTGGACTGTCTGGCCTTGTGATTTGTTAATGGTCATTAGGGGAATTCACAGCACATTTTCATGCATCATTTTTGTGCTGTTTTAATTTTCATTTTGGACATGTCCACTTGAAAACAATGCAAAAATGGCACTTTGACATTTTCACAGATGCCAGTGCTGACTCAGCATGTCAGTCATCATTTCCCTGTCATACATGTTATACCACATACACATCATATCCTTTTAGTAGATTTCTTCCATATATATGCCCTGTAGTATTAAGCCAATGTTATCTCTGGTGACTCCACCCCCAGAAAAAAGAGCCAAAGAAGCCTGCTAGTCATGGCAGAACAGTAGCCCCAAGCACACCTCTTGATGGAGTTGAAGACAAGTCTGAAAAAGAGGACAGAGCAACTGGTGGGTGGAAAAAGTGTGGTATTCTTGTACCATAAGTCCATTCAGGTCCTGCTAGACAGGCTATTGATTGGTGGCAGATGGAAAAGGCAGCCTGAGCTCACAGATGAGCTGCTCACTCTTGTTGAGAGTAATATGAAGTGGATGGTGGCTTTTGGCTTTGACAGGTCATCTGCTAGCAGCAGGCTCACTATCATTGAGTGCTGTGGCCAGATTGCTTGGGCCCTGTTCATTACAGACAAACCTGGCGCACCATTTGGACCAGCAAATCTGAAGAAGCTGATGGAAGCTGTGAAAAATTGTATTTCAAGGTGAGTCATGTAACTTGGTTCATTTGATGATGTTCTGAGTGTTCATTAGCCTTTGCACAACCTACAATGACTACCACAAGCAGCTTGGTGAGACTGGGCATGGTCTTATTGTTTCAGACCACAAACATGAAATTACACCTGGGTCTGAGATCACAAATGTTTACAGTAAGTGTTGGTAGGTATCAACAGATGCATGAGCTTGCAGGCACTAGCCCTGTAGCTAGTTGTGTAGCCATATCCAACAGTACTTCATCTCTTGACCTCTCTGTTCTTGACAGACTTGAGAATGATGCTGATGTCTTTGACAAAGGTGGAGACATCACTGAGGTATTTTGTTACTATGTACATGTGTGATCCATAACTGATTTGATGTGATCAAATGTTCTAGAGTACTCCCCATGACTTGTCACCATTGAACAACTCCCATCTTGGGTCTCCTGGGTTTGATATTGAATGGCCACCTAGTGAGGGGGAGGTGACTGCCCCACTGTCCATTCCTGAGCCCAAGGCAAAGCTCACAGTGAAACACCCTGCATCACCCTGCACAGGCCACTCTTCAGTCAAGAGGAAAAAGACCTCACAGGAGCTTGCACATGAGATTGTGGAAGGTGAGGATGCAGCTCAACTGTAGATAAGCCTCAATAGTGCAAAGGAGAAGACTAGATGGGAGTGTATCAAGAGGGAGACTGCACGAGAGATGGCACTTGAGATTGAGCAGCTCTGTCTCAAGCATCAGCAAGAGGAGGGGGATTGTCAGCACACACATGAGCTCATGATGATGGACAGGCAGATTAGGCTTGAGGAACTCTGAGCTGGGTTGGGTTCTACTAGTATCCATGCTTCTGTTATTGATCCCCAACTTTCTAAATAGCTTCTTCATCACTGACTATACAAAAATTCACATAGGCTTTTATTTAATTCTTCCCTTTTAATTTTCCCCTCCAATAGTGCAATATCCCTTGACTCTTCATGTTCATCCTCCATTCTCCCTGCATTTTCTTCACTTTCACCATACCATTCAGCATACTGTTGGGCCTCCTTCTCCATAATTTGAATCCCATTACAATAGAATGAGTCAGTTGAAGTGTTAATGCCCATTTCATGCCCTGTTGCAAATGCATGCAGATGGATACAAGAGATGATCCTCATTGTTGATGTTGACTTGGAATCCATGAAGAGATGACCAGCAACCTTTAAGGAACCCAACACAATGCTCAGAATGGATATGTATCCTTGAGACATAATAGTTGTGAGTCTTGTTCTCAGGGATATCCTTTTCTGGCCTAGAAAAATAAGATGTGCCACAGTATTGCTCAATGCTGGCAGCTTACTTTTTGTAGGGTGCTTGGCACCAGGTATGCAGGGGATATGCAGAATCACCCCATGTGAATTCTCCATCATCCAATGAGATGTTGTGGTCCTTTGCAATGTGAGTATCAGAGAAAGCTGTTGCATCATGCTGACTACCTGGTAAGCCAACAGCATAGTCAATGATCTGAAGATCAGGGGTTGATACAATCTTGAAAATATTAAGAGAAGGAGTCAAGGATCAGTTGAAAAGATGACATACCTGAACATTGAGTGAGTAATTTGACTTCTGATCAAACCAAGTATTTCCATAAAAACCAGGTCAGGCATGCAAAGGCACCAAGGTCCCATCAACCATGCACCAACCATCCTGCCATGCAGGGCAGGAGTGCTCCTCCACCCAGGCCTTGGCTTTCTCCTTCATGTCATCATCAGGCCAGTGAAGTGCAGATCTCCAAAACCTTTCTGAACACACTGCTGTCATAACACAATTAGTCACCAGGCATACTGTACCATAACCAATGCCAGCCCTAAGGGCAACTTTCGTTCAAGATAATTAACATGTTCTATCTGCATCTATTCAAACCTTGAAAACTGCCAAAATGAAGACAAAATGGGGGATATCAAAGCAAACTGCCATTTTCAGCCTTACCCAGTCAACAAAAACAAAATGAAAACAGCATAAAAAATGATGCACAAAAATGTACTGTGAATTCCCCTATTGAATAGGCCATATGAACAGGGAATTGCAGGTGATGCAAGGGTATTGGGAAGTCATCTGAATTGGTATCCAAAGCCATGTGAGGAATCAACACCATGTCATTGTTGGCATCTCCATCCCTTTCCTGCAACACACAGCACTCCAATATATGATGGGTAGATCTGATCAAGTGCCATTACAATAAAGGCCATGGATAGGATCCAGATTGTGAAGAAGCATGAAGGGAGCACCCAGCTTCAACTCCAACTCATGAAGAGGGAACCCTGATGGACCTAGTGTGTTCAACACCTCCTTTGGAATGTAATCATACTGGTTGTCAGTAACAGGGTCTGCACTTTTGTACACAACCTTGTCCCCATGAACTTTACCCAGGATGGTGGAGTTGATCTCCCTGACTTCAGTGTTCCTGGAAGATAAAATGGTGTGGTCCAGGAAGTACTGATCCTGCAGAGGCCAATTGTGATGAGGGGCCAGCAAGTCTCCATACATGGCATTGATGAGGGAGTCCAAGTCACCACCACAGGACATGTGTTGTGGGAGTTCTATATCTCCATCTGTCACACATATGTGCAGCAGCTGCCCTTCCCATTGGTCACATTCAGGATCCCTTCCAAGTCACATATTTTGATGGAGGTGATGGATCTGAAGTCTGGACCAGAGGTAGGAATGACATAGAGCAGCACCCACTATCTGTTCTCTGGATCCATGATGGACAACAGGGAGGGTTTGTCTCAAGTCACCCCTGAAGAGAGTGGTGACACCTCCAAATGGTTGGTCCTGCAAGAGATTGTGAAGGGTATGATCCACACACTCCACCACATGCTGATGTTGAGTGGGGACCTTGTCCTAAATGATGAGTGAAGTCTGTTGGAACAGCTGATGGTTAAGATCATCCTTCTTGATGCTACAAGAGCTCCCCTCATGACAGGGAATAGGTATCTTGAAATGGGAGTGTGCAGTATGACCACCAGGGAGAAGGAGAGAGGCCAGGCCTGTGGATGCAACACAGAGGACAATCTTGTTTCCAGCACAAACAGAAGCAGCAATGAGCTTGGCAAGGTATGTCTTTCCACAACCTCCTCCACTGTGCACAAAGAATGAGGACCCAACTGGCTGTTCCATGGAAACCATGACTGGATCAGAGAGTGCCCTCTATTCTCCATTGAGGGTGGGAAGACCAGCCTCCACAAAGTGATAGAGATCTTGCAGGTCATATGCTCTCTGCTCAGCAATGAGGCAGTTCCCTTCATCAATCTGCCACTGCCTCTGTGGCCTGGGCATGGTGGGGAAGTTGTCAAGAGATCATCCATTCCTCCTGAGATCTTCTGTGATGAGATGAAGGCCATGATCAAACATTTGCTCTTTGGTGGGATTTTCAATGTGGAGATTTGGATGCTTGAAATCATTGCCACAATCTTGCACATCCCCAGAACATGGTATTGGACAACCATGGGAAAAGTTGCACTTGGTTTTTGGCATACAAAAGCAGAAGTGTTATATTACTTAGCAAAATTAGCAAAATACATGAAATACACAAAATAGTCAGCAACTATTGGCAAAGGTTTGGGTTCTCCCTTAAATATATGAATATAATATGAATATAATAATGAGGAATAATATGATGAATATGTTTAATCTCCAGGTCATGCGCTTTTGATGTGGAGTTCTAATCTCCAGTCAGAGCTTCAATGTTCACCCACAAATTCACAACTCAGCCACACTTGAGTTTGCTCATGCACTCTTTCCACATTTAACTTTGAGCCGCTCCATGTACTAAAGGTCCTCGCCCCCCACTACTGAACTTGTCCAAAGCTGTCACTGACCAGGCTCTGCACTCTTCTTGCTGAACAAATGCATATTTCTTTGGTTTAACTATGGAGGGAACAGTCATGCCACTGCTGACAAAGCCTGCCATGCCTGACACCCTAACTAGGCCAAAACAGACATCATTGGTGGGTTATTGCTTGGGAGACCTCACTCTCAGCAGGATGGCTGTCCTCAATGACCTAGGTGCAATCCCTCAAGTATCATTGGATTATTTCAAGTCTGCTGCCCTGCCACCCCTTCATGCAGAGATTGGCATTGCCGAAATCAAGACTTCACTGGAGGCCTCTCAGGTTTTGTCCTGAGACTCGGGGTGGACTGCGTTTAAGAAGGAGCCAAAGGTTTTGGATGTATCTGAGGAGCAGGTGTTTGGACCCCTTTCAGTGGTTTTTGAGGCAATCATCAGCAAGGCTGGCAGAGTTGTGCACACCTCAGCAAGGCTTGAGTTTGTATCATGACCTGCACATTCGCCACACTCTGATTGCTCCAATTCAACTTGCCTGGATGCATACTTGCTGCTAGTGGAGAAGAAGAGTGTTGGCGTGCAAGAGGCCAAGAAGAATGAAGCTGAAGGCTCTGATCACAATTCATGGGATGATATCGCCATTTTGTTTGAGTTCAAAAAGGGTGATGGGACTGCCGAGCATGAAGATGTGAGTGACAGCTATGCTTCTTTTCAAGCATCACTAATTTGGTACAATAGGATGACAAGAAGGTAATATGGAGTCTGCACCATATTATGCATAGCAACCCATGTCGCCATGTGACATTTGGTGTTACCATTGAGAACACACAAATGAGGTTTTGGTTCACTTGCTGGGCAGTCATGCTCATCAGCAAGTCATTCAGTTTCCTTACTGTTAGTGGTCACGTTGTCAACTCTATTGCTGTTCATGACTGACTCTCTCAACAGGAGCCAGAACACCTCATCCACTTCTTCTGTGCCCTTGCATTTGCAAAAGACCATGAGCTCAGATGGGATCCAACAATCTGGAGAGTGTGTGTCAAGGGTAAAACTCAATACATCATCACTGTGCATTCAGAAAATGGGGGAACCATCAAATACCCAACCATGAATGTCATTTCCAATTTTGGCACTGATGGTGTGATGGGTCATGGGACTTGGGTCTTCAAAGTCTATCCTATGCCTCAAGATGGAAAATTGGACAGGGAACCCATTGTACTAAAGGATTCTTGGAGAGAGTGTGACTGAGATCGTGAGGATAAAATCCTTCAAAAAATATTTGGTGACTTGTGGGAGCTGAAGGGCATCGAGGCAGAGAATGAGGCTAGAAAATATTTTCTCACTATTGTTGAAGCAGGAGATGTGATTGTGAATGGGATGGTCGATGGCACCACCAGCCTTCTACATGCATCTGATCTGCCAGCTGACTGTCCTTCATATGTGCTACCTGTTGATGGTAAATGGAAGGTGAAGCTGACCAGGTCCAGTGAAGGACTCCCACCAAGTTTTTCTTGTGTCTAGGGTGCCACCAATCATTCAAAAATCCATCACAGGATCCATTTTCATCTGGTGTTCCAGGAAGTTTGCATGCCTATATACAAACTTCAGTGCCTCAATACTGTGTTTCAGATGCTGCAAGATATTCATGAAGGTTTGCTAAGTTGTATGATGAGCTTTTGCTGGAGGCTCATATATAATTATCAGCTTTGGAAATTTTGCACAGCATAGATTGGGTGCACCATGATGTCAGCACCACAAACTCTTTACGTGTGGGTGAGGTGGGGAAGTTAGCTGACCTGGAGTATGTGAAGCATATGAACGACACAAGCAGACATGAGATCCACATGGTAAGTCAATATCTCATCCACCCATGCACTTTCAGAGACGTGTTAAAGGAAACTGTGAATTTCATGGCTTGTGAGGTTGAAGGTCAAACATACCTCTTTAAGCCACCTGGATTTTTTGACAAAGTCTACAGTCCCCCATTCAGGTTCAATCCCCTGCACAATATGGAGTCTTTGTGGTGGATTCAAACATGGATACTCTATTACCATGTTGGCCAACCACACAGCCAACAGTCATCAAAACAGGAGGATTACTCAAAGAACCTCTTTCCTGGACAGCTCAAAGTTCATTTCTATGAGTTTTCCAACAATCTGGACCTCTGCATCCTTCCACCCCATTTTAAGCCTGCAGGTTGACAGGTTGCAATGATGCATGGGAAGCTTAAGCTAGCTTACATTGAAAGTGAAAAGTGCTTGCCACAGGAGCCACCGGCCTATGTTGCTCCACTTGCAGGTCTCCACACCATTTTTAGAGAACACCTTGCAACTGCTGTTGAGGTCTCTAAAGATGTCATTCTTTTTATCCCAATGGATAAATGGCCAAATCCAGAAGACTCAACCCATGAAACTCAAGGCAAAAAATGACCCAAGGTTTGAACTTTTTCAGATCACCACTGACTGCTGACATCATGTTTCTTCCTAGGTGGACTGATCGAACATCATTCAAATGTCACAACTCTCCAGGCCCATGACACTACTTGAAATATCAATAAATGCTTACTGTACTATCTTGCATATGAATCCTGCTTTTCCCACCACTTTCCCTTGTTTAGTAGTCCCTTGCTTGTGCTTAAGGTTCCAACTCATTGAGTCATCAGAGAAAATGTACTGGTTGACACATCATGATGACCATTCTTAGTAACACCATAGCTGAAGCAAATCACAAGACCAGAAGCAGCAGTAGTGAAGGGTTTGCTAGAGACAATGGATAGACACAAGAGTATGTCATGGTTCGAGAGAAACTGGTAGATTGTAAAACAGAGAGCAGAAAGACTACCATTTATCAAGGTGTGGGGTGAGCTTCCAAATCCTCTACACACACAAGATTGGAAAACTGTGGTGACCAGATCCCCAAGATGCTGAACATGGGATACACCTTTGCTGGCTCATGTTCTCCTGTTATGATAAATCTTCCCCTAACCATTTTGCATAGTTTTATACAGGAGTGCACTTAGGCTAACCAGCAGTAACCAACTATGGAGAAAGAAGTGAGTAAGTGATGTTGCCACCAAAGAAGCTCACCAGTTGAAATCCTAAGCAAATCAAAACAGATGTCATTGGCAGATTACTGTTCAGGGGATCTTGCATTTGGTAGGACAGCTGTCCCTAGTGACCTAGGTGAAGACCTCAAAGTATCACTTGATTATTTCAGGTCTGCTGCACCACCACCCCTTCATGGGCAGGTTGACATTGCCAAAATCTAGATTTTGCTGGAGGGTGCTCACATTTTGTCCTGAGATTCAGGTGGACTGCATTTAAGAAGGTGTCAAGTATGGGTTTACCCTTGAGTGACCAGGCTTCAAGGCCAAGTGACAGGAGCCAAGTCTGGTTGACAGGGGTCAAGGCAGGGAGACATGGGCTAAGTCTGGTTGGACCACAGTTGAGGCCAGGAGTTAGGGGCCCATTCCAGAGGTCTGGAGTCAAGGCCAGGACTGTGGGAACCTGACTGGTCCCAGAGTGTGCATGGAGGGCAGCCAGTCTGGGGTTGGATCTACCTCCCTTGGTCTCAGCTTATGTGCTGTATGTCAAAGTTGCACAACACCCCTGACTTCCTCTTAGGGTGGAGTAGGAGCAGGTTGGGCTGTGGAGTACAGCAGTCAAAGTCCAAAGTGAATCCAGCCACTGGGTGGCAAGATATGGATATGCAATGAAAAAGGAGCAGAGAAGTACAGAGGGAAGTTTTGGAGATAGGGGTCAGAGTCAGAGGTTGGATGGGAGGGTGTCAGGTTCAGCTAGTGTGCTGCCCCCTTGCAAAAGCTCAGCCCTCATATTTCAGAGGTAGAGTGTACTCAGAGGGGTGGAGACAAAACTCCAGAGGGAACTCAGAGGGAGTCAGAAGTGGTGACTTTATTGTCAATATTTGTACTGATTACATTGGAGTACTATGTGGCCTTATATACAGTGTAGGTCAAGGGCAGGGCAGTGTAGAATGCAACCCAATAAATGTATAAGAGGTTAGCAGTGCCTCCAATCACAAGGGACAGATGATAATGATAGGGATGATGGGGACCTGAACTGAGATAAGGGAACTACTACAATGAGGGAGAGAGGGTAAATACCAAAAGAGTGAGAGAATGGAGAAAAAACCAACACAAGGGCAGAACCCTATCTAGAATGCAGGGTTGTGAGTCTGATGTTCTGCTAAGCCAACCAAGGCCTTGGAGGAGGCACAGGTGAGCAGAGGCAGTCAGAATGTAGACAGGGGACCTCAGGGAGGTGCAGAGATGTGTCAGGAGGGTCAGAGGAGCATGGGAACATGTCAGAAGAGGGCAGAGAAGCACAGGAGCATGTCAGAAGAGGGCAGAGAGGTGTGGGAACATGTCAGAGGAGGGTGGAGTAGGTGTTAGGGGCTTATGCCAATGTCATGGTCATGACACTGTACCCTTATGCAAGCTGGGGAGAGGTTTAGGACAGGGGCCAGGGATAGCTTAAGGTTCAGCCTTAGCTATTGAGAAGACTCAGAGGGTGATACAGAACTGAGGGTAATACTTAGTTGACATTCTGACCAAGGTGCTATGAAGTGTGTACAGGGGTTAAATACATGAGGCCAGTCTGGGGTAACAAACATAGAGCCAGACTTGTTAATAAGCTATTAGCGAGATGATTAGCAAGGGGTGGACAGCCACAGAGGCTTTGCCAAGACTAATAGTCAAAGTCTGGTGACCAGCATAACCAGAGACAGGACAGGTTTTATACAGTAACATCAGGAAATTCACACATTACTATTTTGTCCTATTCTCATACTATTTATGTCTTATTTTTACTATTTGCACTAAAATAGTCATACAAGACAGAATAGTCATTTTAGTAGGTTCATTTACTATCCTCACTATTTTTTGTACTATCTTTTGACTATCTTTCAACTATCTATGCTATTTTCTCCACTATTTCTACTATCCAACTTCTTGCTGACATCATTTGTTCAGCTCAGAGGTAGGGAATAGAAATCAATGTATTCAGAATAAAGTGCAGCACAAAATCAATTAAATGAGAGTAGCCCTATTGATGAGTTGAGAAAGAGCAGCTAGGAAACTTGGGAATATCAATATCTCAACAACCACTGGATGGAGTTGGATGAATGAGGCATCCCTAGAGACAGATTAGTCAGGAGAGTGATCCACCCACAAAGTGAGAGAAACAGTGATGAGACATGCAAGATATGATTACAGGACTTTGAGGGCAGACCTTGCCACAGAAATGGAGATATCTCAACAACTGCTGGAGGAGAGCAAGCCATTCAAAAAGCAAGAGAAGCAGTGGTGAGATGCACAAGATGTGATCACAGGACTTCAAGAGTGGACCTTGCCACAGAAATTGAGATATCTTGACAACCACTGGACAGAATTAGATGAATGTGCCATCCCTCGAGATGGACTAGTCTGGAGAGCAAGCCATCCAAAAAGTGAGAGAAGCAGTGGTGAGATGCACAAGATACAATCACAGGATTTTGAGGGTGGACCTTGCCACACAAATTGAGAAATCTTGACAGCCACTGGACAGAATTAGATGATGACACCTTCTTAAATGCAGTCCACCTGAATCTCAGGACAAAATGTGAGCACCCTCCAGCAAAATCTAGATTTTGGCAATGTCAACCTGCCCATGAAGGGGTGGTGGTGCAGCAGACCTGAAATAATCAAGTGATACTTTGAGGTCTTCACCTAGGTCACTAGGGACAGCTGTCCTACCAAATGCAAGATCCCCTGAACAGTAATCTGCCAATGACATCTGTTTTGATTTGCTTAGGATTTCAACTGGTGAGCTTCTTTGGTGGCAACATCACTTACTCACTTCTTTCTCCATAGTTGGTTACTGCTGGTTAGCCTAAGTGCACTCCTGTATAAAACTATGCAAAATGGTTAGGGGAAGATTTATCATAACAGGAGAACATGAGCCAGCAAAGGTGTATCCCATGTTCAGCATCTTGGGGATCTGGTCACCACAGTTTTCCAATCTTGTGTGTGTAGAGGATTTGGAAGCTCACCCCACACCTTGATAAATGGTAGTCTTTCTGCTCTCTGTTTTACAATCTACCAGTTTCTCTCGAACCATGACATACTCTTGTGTCTATCCATTGTCTCTAGCAAACCCTTCACTACTGCTGCTTCTGGTCTTGTGATTTGCTTCAGCTATGGTGTTACTAAGAATGGTCATCATGATGTGTCAACCAGTACATTTTCTCTGATGACTCAATGAGTTGGAACCTTAAGCACAAGCAAGGGACTACTAAACAAGGGAAAGTGGTGGGAAAAGCAGGATTCATATGCAAGATAGTACAGTAAGCATTTATTGATATTTCAAGTAGTGTCATGGGCCTGGAGAGTTGTGACATTTGAATGATGTTCGATCAGTCCACCTAGGAAGAAACATGATGTCAGCAGTCAGTGGTGATCTGAAAAAGTTCAAACCTTGGGTCATTTTTTGCCTTGAGTTTCATGGGTTGAGTCTTCTGGATTTGGCCATTTATCCATTGGGATAAAAAGAATGACATCTTTAGAGACCTCAACAGCAGTTGCAAGGTGTTCTCTAAAAATGGTGTGGAGACCTGCAAGTGGAGCAACATAGGCCGGTGGCTCCTGTGGCAAGCACTTTTCACTTTCAATGTAAGCTAGCTTAAGCTTCCCATGCATCATTGCAACCTGTCAACCTGCAGGCTTAAAATGGGGTGGAAGGATGCAGAGGTCCAGATTGTTGGAAAACTCATAGAAATGAACTTTGAGCTGTCCAGGAAAGAGGTTCTTTGAGTAATCCTCCTGTTTTGATGACTGTTGGCTGTGTGGTTGGCCAACATGGTAATAGAGTATCCATGTTTGAATCCACCACAAAGACTCCATATTGTGCAGGGGATTGAACCTGAATGGGGGACTGTAGACTTTGTCAAAAAATCCAGGTGGCTTAAAGAGGTATGTTTGACCTTCAACCTCACAAGCCATGAAATTCACAGTTTCCTTTAACACGTCTCTGAAAGTGCATGGGTGGATGAGATATTGACTTACCATGTGGATCTCATGTCTGCTTGTGTCGTTCATATGCTTCACATACTCCAGGTCAGCTAACTTCCCCACCTCACCCACACGTAAAGAGTTTGTGGTGCTGACATCATGGTGCACCCAATCTATGCTGTGCAAAATTTCCAAAGCTGATAATTATATATGAGCCTCCAGCAAAAGCTCATCATACAACTTAGCAAACCTTCATGAATATCTTGCAGCATCTGAAACACAGTATTGAGGCACTGAAGTTTGTATATAGGCATGCAAACTTCCTGGAACACCAGATGAAAATGGATCCTGTGATGGATTTTTGAATGATTGGTGGCACCCTAGACACAAGAAAAACTTGGTGGGAGTCCTTCACTGGACCTGGTCAGCTTCACCTTCCATTTACCATCAACAGGTAGCACATATGAAGGACAGTCAGCTGGCAGATCAGATGCATGTAGAAGGCTGGTGGTGCCATCGACCATCCCATTCACAATCACATCTCCTGCTTCAACAATAGTGAGAAAATATTTTCTAGCCTCATTCTCTGCCTCGATGCCCTTCAGCTCCCACAAGTCACCAAATATTTTTTGAAGGATTTTATCCTCACGATCTCAGTCACACTCTCTCCAAGAATCCTTTAGTACAATGGGTTCCCTGTCCAATTTTCCATCTTGAGGCATAGGATAGACTTTGAAGACCCAAGTCCCATGACCCATCACACCATCAGTGCCAAAATTGGAAATGACATTCATGGTTGGGTATTTGATGGTTCCCCCATTTTCTGAATGCACAGTGATGATGTATTGAGTTTTACCCTTGACACACACTCTCCAGATTGTTGGATCCCATCTGAGCTCATGGTCTTTTGCAAATGCAAGGGCACAGAAGAAGTGGATGAGGTGTTCTGGCTCCTGTTGAGAGAGTCAGTCATGAACAGCAATAGAGTTGACAACGTGACCACTAACAGTAAGGAAACTGAATGACTTGCTGATGAGCATGACTGCCCAGCAAGTGAACCAAAACCTCATTTGTGTGTTCTCAATGGTAACACCAAATGTCACATGGCGACATGGGTTGCTATGCATAATATGGTGCAGACTCCATATTACCTTCTTGTCATCCTATTGTACCAAATTAGTGATGCTTGAAAAGAAGCATAGCTGTCACTCACATCTTCATGCTCGGCAGTCCCATCACCCTTTTTGAACTCAAACAAAATGGCGATATCATCCCATGAATTGTGATCAGAGCCTTCAGCTTCATTCTTCTTGGCCTCTTGCACGCCAACACTCTTCTTCTCCACTAGCAGCAAGTATGCATCCAGGCAAGTTGAATTGGAGCAATCAGAGTGTGGCGAATGTGCAGGTCATGATACAAACTCAAGCCTTGCTGAGGTGTGCACAACTCTGCCAGCCTTGCTGATGATTGCCTCAAAAACCACTGAAAGGGGTCCAAACACCTGCTCCTCAGATACATCCAAAACCTTTGGCTCCTTCTTAAACGCAGTCCACCCCGAGTCTCAGGACAAAACCTGAGAGGCCTCCAGTGAAGTCTTGATTTCGGCAATGCCAATCTCTGCATGAAGGGGTGGCAGGGCAGCAGACTTGAAATAATCCAATGATACTTGAGGGATTGCACCTAGGTCATTGAGGACAGCCATCCTGCTGAGAGTGAGGTCTCCCAAGCAATAACCCACCAATGATGTCTGTTTTGGCCTAGTTAGGGTGTCAGGCATGGCAGGCTTTGTCAGCAGTGGCATGACTGTTCCCTCCATAGTTAAACCAAAGAAATATGCATTTGTTCAGCAAGAAGAGTGCAGAGCCTGGTCAGTGACAGCTTTGGACAAGTTCAGTAGTGGGGGGCGAGGACCTTTAGTACATGGAGCGGCTCAAAGTTAAATGTGGAAAGAGTGCATGAGCAAACTCAAGTGTGGCTGAGTTGTGAATTTGTGGGTGAACATTGAAGCTCTGACTGGAGATTAGAACTCCACATCAAAAGCGCATGACCTGGAGATTAAACATATTCATCATATTATTCCTCATTATTATATTCATATTATATTCATATATTTAAGGGAGAACCCAAACCTTTGCCAATAGTTGCTGACTATTTTGTGTATTTCATGTATTTTGCTAATTTTGCTAAGTAATATAACACTTCTGCTTTTGTATGCCAAAAACCAAGTGCAACTTTTCCCATGGTTGTCCAATACCATGTTCTGGGGATGTGCAAGATTGTGGCAATGATTTCAAGCATCCAAATCTCCACATTGAAAATCCCACCAAAGAGCAAATGTTTGATCATGGCCTTCATCTCATCACAGAAGATCTCAGGAGGAATGGATGATCTCTTGACAACTTCCCCACCATGCCCAGGCCACAGAGGCAGTGGCAGATTGATGAAGGGAACTGCCTCATTGCTGAGCAGAGAGCATATGACCTGCAAGATCTCTATCACTTTGTGGAGGCTGGTCTTCCCACCCTCAATGGAGAATAGAGGGCACTCTCTGATCCAGTCATGGTTTCCATGGAACAGCCAGTTGGGTCCTCATTCTTTGTGCACAGTGGAGGAGGTTGTGGAAAGACATACCTTGCCAAGCTCATTGCTGCTTCTGTTTGTGCTGGAAACATTTGGACAAGTTCAGCAGTGGGGGCAATGACCTTTAATACATATGCCAAAGTCTGAGTCAGGTTTTGATTTGTTTGGCCAAGAAATGGAATCCTACACATGAGGACAACAATGGGTCCCAATGCAGGTCCCTGTTTCAGATTATAGTCGAGCCTTCTCTGGTGCTGTGAAGGTGGGACCCACAACATGTGTAGTGGTGTGGAAGTGACAGAGCCCACAATAGACACAGCAGTGGTTTCAATAATTAGAGCTAGTTCGGAAACCTCGGGTAAGTCACAATTAGCTCCTTCAATGCTTGTACATGTTTTTCCACTGGGGCAGTTTGCATAGTGAGTTTGAATTGAGTTTGAAACATGTCCTGCGATGGATTACAATGATCTGGATCAGCTTAGGCTTGCCTGGGTATTGGCTGCCACTGTTGTTGCCCTCATATCCCAGTACACTCTGGATTCACTAACTCACTTGATGCCTAATAAGACTAGCACTCCCACTCCACAAGTTCATTGGAACCATGAAGAAACAGCTGCTCTTGTAAGGTTCCTGCATGACAACCAGCATGAGGCAGGCAATAATGGGAACTTCAACATCAGTAGACCACTTTGTGAGCTGGTAATCCTAGGGAATCTGTCCAGTGCTGGACAGCCCTGGACAGCTCTGGCCAGCAAAAGTGATTTACTGATGAAGATGGCTACATATCAAGCTGCTGCCCTGCATATTGCCAACTATCACACAGATGGACCTCCTAAGAACTATCAAGTGGTGAGAAACAAGTGGACTGGCTATGTAAGTCCACATTGTAAACCACTTGTGATTTTTACTGATCTTCTGTCATAGATTTGAAAGATATATCATGATATTGAGTACTATCAAGCACAACCATCTGGAGCCCACTGGGACAATGAAAAGGGGGCTAATATTCAGGGTCAGCATGCCAAGCACTTCTGATTCTGTGCCAGTGCTTCCCCTAGTCCTGCTTGGGTCAGATGACAACCATTTCCCATTTTTCAATGATCCACCATCTACCATCAACCCGTCTGACATTTCTATCCCTCCATCCAGTGCTCTGCCATCTAGTGGGAAGTGGTCTCACACTGACATGCTTGGTGATGATAAGGTTTTGACTACCATGTCCATTTTCCCATATGCCAACGCAAGTGACATTTCTGCTACTGCTCCCTGCCTCCAACAAATGTGCCAACCTCTCTGCCACTTTGCACTATGCAAAAAGCTCCCATTCCTGTCATTCTTGCAATCCTCCACCTCTGCCTTCACTTGTGATATCAAACCCTATCACAGTAGGCCTACAAGGCTTCGATCAACTTCCTCACTTCATTGATCAACACATTGATGACATCTGCCATTGATAAAGTGTCAACAATCAAGGGCACAAGCAATTCATTTACTGGACAATCAAGACCAAGATTTCCCCAGTCCCATCAAAGCATTCATCAAATTGTTGATCACACAGAATCTCAGCTTTGCTGATGTATACTTGAGGACAGCAAAGAAGGAAGATCATTTGGCACTTGCTGAACTGGAGTATCAGATGAAACTTGGGGTTGGTAGTTCTCAGACTGGTACACAGTAAAAAATACTATAGGTAGACTGATGTTTGCTGTACCTCCATACCTGCTAGCATTGTATCACAATCTTTTTTTTTCTTTATTGCAATCTATCTTTTTTTTCTTCATCACACATGAGAGATCTGAAAGTGTACATATATTGCATGGAATGGGAACAAATGAACTATGCATCTACAACATTGATATATTGCTCATACCACTACTAGTGTTAGTGGAGTCATCAGAGCTATAGTTGTCACTACCTGAGGGCAATTGCCTGAGATCCTGCAATTGAATGATTTCCTGATAATTGTCCCACATATGTTGAGTGATCTGGTCACAGAAAGTGCATGCCACTTCGAGCTGACCTACATTGGGATTATCTTCATCAGCTCCACCCTCATCTGCTGATCCCCCAGGCCCTCCTGCACCTCGCTCATCTATGTGGACATCCTATCCTGGCAATGGACCTTCTTCAGCATTGTGAGTACAGATGAAGTTGTGCAGTGCACAGAGTGCTGAGGGGATTTGGCCTTGGACATCAATGTTGTACTCAGGGCTTAGTAGTAAGATGCAAAAATGACACTTGAGGACACCAAATATTCACTCAATGATGTTGCATGCAGATGAGTGCCAGAGGTTGAACAACTCTTCTTTGTTCCTGGGTCTTGTCAGTTAGGATGATAAGATGGATAATTCAAAGAAAATTACCTTAAATGCGCTCAGCGCCACTCTGCGAGGTGGTAGCGAGTTGCCCAGTATGGGACTAGAATTTCTGGATGCAGGGGGAATCCAGCATCTGCAAGGAGAAACTTTCCTGTTGGGATGTCAAGCCCTTTTGTACATGCATCCTGGTATACATGCACATTGGTAGCCAAACCCTCCCAACCAGTCAACGAGTATGTAAACATCAGCTGAAAATCACAAGCAAACAAGCAGTTCTGTGATATGGAGCCTTTGCAGTTTCAGTACACCACCCAGTCCTCCAACACTGGAGTGGCATGGATATGGCTCCTGTCCAATGCACCAATCGCATCCTTGAAATACAGCCAAAATCTTTTATCTCCCCTAATCTTTGGCTGAATATCATCAGCACCAGGCATCTTGATGTATGTGGAATAGAAGGGTGATGACAATAGGATGAAGAGTATCTTGCAAAAGTACCTGATCAAGGAGGTTAGAAAAGTATCAGAAAACCAAGGGTGATGACATACCAAGATATGGTCTCATTTGACCATTGAAAATGTTCACCAACATGCCTGATAGTCAGACCCATCACACTCATATAGAGGAAAATAGCTAGTTGTTCTTCAAGTGAAATGAATCAAGAGTTGCCATGACCAATCTGGCAAAGCTCCTCCACAAGTCATGCAAAGACATCAGCATGAACACCAAGTTTGCATTGGATTCATTCTGGATGACCTGCAAGGAGCTTGATAAGCCATTCCTCACTGGTTAGTGCTTATGTGTGGTAAGGCTCCAGAATCCTTCAAATTGGCATAGATTGCACTTCAGTATGACCAATCATGCAGAGGATGATATTGACAACAAGAGCAATATGGTGCAGCAAGTGTTGGCAGTGAATCTCCTCATGATCACCACCAATATTGATGTTGTCCATCTTGCATACAGGAGGAAATGTTTCAAACTCAATTCAAACTCACTACATGAACTGCCCCAGTGGAAAAACATGTACAAGCATTGAAGGAGCTAATTGCAACTTACCCAAGGTTTCTGAACTAGCTCTAATGCAGTAAAACAAAACCTATTGCAGCAATTTCCTTTTTTGTAAGGAGATCATTCAAACACTGAGGGTGCCAGTGGCATCTGTCCCTATGCAAGATATCACTGGGGATCAACGGTATGGTAGACTATTTCACTGCTCCACCATTGTCATTTGAATGATTGACCATCCATGGCAGGATTACCATTACCCCAGTGATCACTTACCATATATGAGGGCATCGGGCAGCAACTGCATTGGAATCTGCTGTGATAGCCTTGAGCCCAAAATGAATCGCACCCTTAGCCCCTGTTCAACCAACTTCAGTCCATGTGCAGGGCACAAGAAAGGTAAATCCAGCTCTGGACATCTTCCCATTCTAAGCCATTGACTTCTTCCAACTATCCACATTCTCACAAGTCCCCAGTCTCTGCCTCCTTCTCAACCCAATTTAATTGTAAATGCCATCGTTGTGGGTACTTCTTTGCTGCTCACATCTCCCTTATACAATGTGCCACCAACTGCCTTGTCAGTGAACCAACTTCCAGAACCTCTCCAAGCTCGATGCAGCCAATGATGGCAACATGGCCAGTATGCTATTACAATGCCAATTTACCCTGCCAAGATGAAGTCCCTCACGTTTTTGCAGTCATTAGTGAGAGGTTCATAGGCAGGCCACTCAAGGATTGTGCAGTGCACAGCTACTACATTAACAGAAATCATTGACATCTATTTATGTATATGTGCAAATGAAACTGTCTGAGAATGGTGCTGAGCTGATGCACTGTAGCTGATGATGCTTACAGTACTCCTGGTGGCTCAGCTGTCACTACAACATTTGTTACAAGTGCAATGTTGGTTGAAGTGAGATAGCAAGTGAGGAAAAATGTTCAATTTATGCTTGATATTGCTGTGGCACACATGCAAAACAATCATACAATTTGCACTTGATTTGCATTCCTTTTGCATGTGCCACCCTGTTTATCATTTGGTAAGGTATCTGCCTAGTAGATAGCATGATGGTATGTATAATTTCATAAAGGTTATTTACCTGCAGATAATTATGGGAAATTAAACTATTGACAAGCTCACAAATTGAAATGAAATTCAAGTATTGCTCCTGCATTGTTCACACAACCCCACAGACAAAAGTTGAGCTTTGAATCAGATTTTACACTGTGATAATATGAGAACTAGGATGAAACTTAGCCATACTTCATACCAGCCAAATTCTTATGCAAATTTCACAGTTTATATCAATTTGTACTTCAGAATACTGGTGCAGAGAACCTTATATTCCTGTGGTGTGATCTTGTGTCACTTCGGTGGGTTCAAGTTCACAAGCTTCCATTCTACATCAGATTTCGGCGTCAGTACCATCGGAAACCCCATTTGGCGTCCAGGTAGGTCCACCTCACATATCAGCGGCACGCCGGCGCTAGCAAATATTGCCCCATTCTCGGTCGTCTATCAAGAAACTGAACCTGTGACGCGATCGCTCTGGGATTGTGCTGTAGACGTATTGTCAGACTATGGTTATATTGTCTTCATCCCTTGCCTCGTAGCTTGTATCCTTCCTGATTCTTCCAAAATGAGGTGTACGCTCACAACATTGTTGAGCTTGAGTCTTGATGCGCCAAATTCCCGAAATCGGACAGGAAAGTCCCTAACTTCTGTGGCTCATACTCAGTTAGCTGTGCATGGAATATTCTGCGATACTGGACACACATACCGTCATGCTTTCTTAAACTAATTTCGGCCATATCAAGGCTAGTAAGGTACGGATTGCTGAAAGATGTCTTGCCAGTCCCCTCACATCCCAGTGTTACTGCGCTCGGCCAACCTAAGAGGCCATATCAGGATGTGGCACCGTAGCAGGGAGATGACCTATCTCACCGATGGGCAGGAGATGTCTGCGGACACCTGAGCTGCATACGATAAGTCTGGCTCGGTCGCTAGAACGCAGCGGTGTCTCCGGGCTCTTGCGGAGTTAAAATTCGAGGTTTGATTCACATATATCCCCCCATTACTTTCGCATGCTACATCCTTGCAAGATATGGCTACCGCCCCCCCTCCCAATCCCTTTCCGCTAAGCGCGTTTCATGTTGCATACGAACGATGCCTCGCCCTCGAATCTGCGGCACCCAGTCTTCAAGCTCTCCCTGACTGCCCTCCCCCCGTTATATGCGCTCGCCTTCTTGGCCACTTGTTGCGTTTGTCCCCCGCTGGTAACCCCCGAGGACGAGTTCAACGGGAAATCGCGTTAGCGACGGACGGTGTAACTCTTATGAAGTTAGCCGGGCACTATATGAGTAATTTCATCAAGGCTTGTAAGTCGCAGCCTTTTCGCTGTCTTGGCGCTGGGATCACTCACAGTATGGTTCTTTCACAGTTAAGCGTAGCAACGGACCAACGCCCGCGCCATCTGAACATCCTTCCCGCCCATCCTCTCTGGATGCTCGTGAATACACCATGACTTTGATGAAGGACAGTGGCATAGATCATGGGACGGCTCGGACGCATATATGTCCGCTTCTATGCAAATTCTACAGACCATTCCGTCTGATCTCTCAAAAAGGCATTACTTCGTGACAACAATTCTTGCATCCTGTCGGGAAGCCGAGGACGTTCGAGTCGGTGGCTTCAGGCGCTTGGAAGCTGTGCACATCATTCCACAGGCAATTAACAGAAATATCGGAGAAGAGGGAACGAAGGTGGGTTTTTGCCACGTCTTCCTTCTGCCAACTCAAGAAACCTATAAAGCAATCTCGTTCTGCGAGTGTCTGGTCGGTCTTGGGGATGTTCACTGAGGTCGACCTCTTTGAGCTCTTGGCGGGCAGATTGATCCATCGGCTCGAGAACATCATGATGTTGCAGTACGAATGTCATGCGGTATTCGATGATCTCGTGTTGTGGCTTAAACCTGTAGAGGTGCGTTCACTCGATCTTTTCCTTCGTGCGCTCTCTTGATATTGTCCATAGGGTGCGCAAGACACATATAGTGTACATTCAGCTCATCCAAAAGTGAAGGGGGCATTAGGCATTCCCGACACTGTACATTTCTCCACAACAACTGGATACCCTCTCCCCCACCCTGCCCTTCTTTCGCTTCACGCGCTTTGCTGTGAGGTGGCCTGGATGTCTGGAGCTGCGGAGTACATCATGGACATAGAGAGGAGGATGGATCAAACAAGAGTTCTAGCAAACGATGGCTCCAATGCTGACGTCTTGGTGAAAGCGTTAGCACTTGTTGGAACTTATTGACTTGTTTTGTTGTCTACTTGCCTGTCTCAACGGTACTTGGTGATTTTGAAAGTACGCATGTATTGTAAACGTGCGAATTTGATTGGCAATGACTAGTTTTCTATGTAAGCAGAGGCATGAAGTGTTACAATATGAAGATTCATGACTCCTATATCTGTTGCTCTCACTGTCTTACCCTGTCACATGAGCCAACTGCTCTGGCAGAGGGTGGAATTGTGGCCAGTGAGTTGGCACAATTGCCCTTCAAGCTAACAAACAAACTAATTTTCTAGTAATAGATCCACAAGATGACTTGATGAATTGGTTCCTGAATGAACAGGAACCAACTGCTCCCCCAGCAGATGGTATGAATGTGGATCTACTCAAGCAATTGCTGAATGCACAGGAACCATTGGCACTGCCAGTCACACACAAGAAATTAAACAGGATGGATGGGTCTTCAACACCTGCACAAGACATTACTATGCAGGTTGATTCTCTGGCAGACTTGCAGAATGTGCAGGAACCATCTCCTCTGCCCATCACCCATGAATCACCAAATCTGAGGGACTGATCTCCTCAACCTGATTCTCCAACTAACCTGCTTGCTCAATTGCAAGATATGAGGGAACCAATGCCTCCCCCACTTGTTTCAAATGTACCCATCAAATCTTTTGACTTGGCAGTGGATGAGGACAATGGTGCAAACCATTTGACTTTTGGCATGCCAAAATGATCAGAGATGAGGGATCTTTTTGAAGAAATATGCAATGGTGAGCATTTATTTGGTGTGTTCCATGCATGTGATCAGTGATATCCATCAATTATGTAGGTGAACTTCCATCTGCACAGTAATCTCTTCAAATGGAACAATGGGGATTGGCACCTATTCTGCATTGTGATCAAGGTATGGGCATGAGCTTAATCTGATACACTGTTGACATTGATAATTTTAGTCCTGTGCACCTTACATGCTACAGTATCTCATACCATGGAGACACCACTCCCAGCAACACACCATTCAATCCCACCCTCAATAGGCACCTTGTGTGGGCTGTGAATGTCATTGCAAGAGAATTGGGAACAGCTGCAAGGGACCAGTATGGTGCAACCTCTCAGGGCCTTCAACTCATCAATATGCTTGATTTGATGGAAGTCATTTGTTATCTGCTGTCACACACCAAAGGTGTTGTGGACATGGTTACAGCTGACTCTGCCTAACTTGTCAACAAGTTGTGTGCAATGCCCATGCCATGCAGATGAAGACTAATGGCCTCATGCATAGAAAGACTGCTGGACATGAGCAGTTATCCTTTGCACAAGAACAAGTCATCAGTGCTAAAGAGAAAAGAGGAAGCAAGTTAAGCATGCATTAAAAGTTTTTAGTGCCTGTGTATGGCATTCCAGTTTTCATTGTATCTCCACCATTTCCAAAGATATCAACTCTGTTTTCACACTTGCTTAAAGTGCTCAGCCACACAATTCTGCCTTCCAAATTTGGAGAGGACTCACACCCTATGCATTTCTACAGCACTCCATCCATCAGACACTCATTTTGCTAAGTCCATCAATAATGGCTGCCTCTTCATTGATTGTCTCACTTGTCTCATTTGCCAGAGACAGTGACTACATATATCTGCCAGGCATTCCCACCAGCTTCTGTCCTGAAGCCCCCTGGTTCATCCCATCATTGTCAGCCCCATCTCATCCCATGCAGCTTGGTCAGTGTGTTCTCCTTGTCAGTATGACTTCCAGAAGGACATTCTTTGGTTGCCTCAGGTCTGTCACTTGGTTAGAAAGGTCTTATGTGGTTGTTTTGGTCTCCCCAGTTGATGAAGCATATGGATCATTCCTCCCTGCTCCCTGCACCATCCTTATTCCAATCTTGTCCATCATTCTTCCCACATTGTGACAGCTGCAGCATAATCTACTGTTCTCCAGCCTCCCTGATCACATCCATGATGAGTATGACATGCATCTTGCCTTCTTACTGCAAGATCCAGCAGAAGACATCCCCCCTTCTCCTCCTCCTCCATCAGAGCCCCATTCATGAAGCTTTTGTTAACTTTGCTGAGAGGACAAAAGGGTGGGAGACACAATCACTTATGCTCTGACCCCCAACACCCTAGCCCCCTTTGATGCCTGACTCATGCCCTTCAGTTCTGGAATTAATACTACCCTATTTGGAAACACCATCCATCTGTCATGCCATCTTTGGATCTAGAGATGTCTCTGCTGAGATCTGACTTGCATCACCACCCCCTAATGTAATACCAGTGTGCTTACTCAGTTTCTGACTCTGCTTGACTCATTTTGTGATATTTTGACTGTCCTTGACTCATTTATTGCCAATACTTACCAATCTTCTTTGCTTGCTTACTTTTCATTTCTTGCTTACTCATCATGATTACTCAGTCCTTACTCATTACTTACCAAGTGCTTGCACCTTGTTTGTCACAAGCTGTGCTCCCCCCACAGTATATAAACCCCCATGTACTTAGCTACAACCCCCAGTGAAGCAAGTGAACCAGAAGCCATTCACTCAGCAGTCAGTTCAGTGCATACCTCATTGATGACAGTTGAGGCTCATTCAGAAGAGTCTATCTGTCACCATTCATCATACTTGGTAGTTGAGGCTCCACAAAGGGGTCTATCTGCCTCCATCCTTTATCTGAAGCTTCATCCACACTTAGTCAGCAAGTCCTTGCTCAGTTATCCTCCCACTCCTGTGTAACTTGTCATCAACTTGTGCCAGGTGCACATTTTATCAAAGTCCATTACTCCCAAGTACCTTTGGCTGAACACCTTCACTCTGTTCAGCATCCCCCATCCAGTCATCACTCACCTGTCTATTCTAGTGTAACTCATCATCAACTTGTGCTAGGAGCACCTCCACTTGAAGTCCCCCCCACATTAGATTTTCTTCTGCACTCCAGGTTCTGTGGAGGCAAACCACCACTCACACATTATTTGTCTTTGGTGTTGGATTTGTTGGTTTATACCACCTTTCCACACTTTGACTCACACCACATTCCACCTTTGAAAATTGTCCCAAGCCATTCATCACCAGCCAATCACACCCATCTCACCAGTCTGTGGTAGAGATGGGTATCCTCTATTTGGTGTGCCAGATCAAGGTGGCCTCTGTACATCTGAAGCAGACTGCCAATATCATGAGATGGCCTGTGCATTGGTTTGCAAACCTAGCAATGGACTTGGTAGGTTTCACACCAATTTTTCACAATGTGGGACTCAGCTTAATAGCTTGATTCTGGTGATGGTGTCACATGCCAGTTATACTCCTCCCCTCCCAGCATGTTACCATGCATACCTCAGACACCAAGATGATGAGGTTAGCTTCTGCAATCAAATGCAGCTAATTCCCCTTAGCACATTTTGCATGATTGACAATATCAGTGCCATTGTCCCACATTGGACCCCACATGCAGCTGATCCCAATTCCAGCTTTGCATTCCCTTGGTGGCTATATTGTTCCAAGGAATATGCAGCAGATTCCCAAAGATTGCAAGGCAAGGGATTGTTTTCCATGGCCTGGGATTTTTTTAAGGTATGCCACTTATTCTCATTGCTGCAAATAGTTGATGATGGCCCAGGGCTTATGGCCATTGCCTGAGGCACCAATCACAGACTGTCTTGGTGGCCATATCAAGGAGCAGGTAAACTACAGCATCAAAAATATTTGGAAATATGCTGATGTTGTTGACAGTCAGGGTCAACAAATTGACCATTTCTATGCTAGGTGGTGGGCATTGCATGGGTTGTTGGGCATGCTGCTTCAATAGTTTACATGTTTTTGACTGTGGAGTTGGTTGTATATATATTGCTGTGAATGTTGATCATTTATGAGATACTGCCCATTCACATGATTTCTGAACCCCTGCCCATCTGTGTGATGTCTGACAACCCACCCATCTGCATGATGGTATGTGCAGTTTTGGTTTTGTTTTGGTTTCTGATACACACCCTTGAGCTCTGAGTATCCATCCATCTATGATGTCTAAGCACCTGCCCATCCATAAGGTGTCTGATGTGAATGTTGATAATTTATGAGATCTGCCCATTTGCATGATGTCTGAACTCCCACCCATCTGCATGATGGCCTGAGTAGTTTTACTTTTGTTGCAGTTTATGATGCACACCCTTTAGCTCTGAGTACCCACCCAATCTATGATGTCTAAGCACCCACCCATTTGCAAAATCTTGGCAACACCACCTGTCCAAAGTTCAAGAGCCAGCATATCCTAACAAAATATGAGATCCACATTGCCTGCTAAATCTTACATTAAATTTTGCAGCTTCAAATCAACAGTTCTCCAGTTGCAACTGGTCTAGGTAGTAGGTTGTCCATCCACAGTGATTGACACATGGGAACTTGCACCAACTGATGTACATTGGCATGCATGTAGTACATCAGGCATGCTCTGTCACTGTCTACAGCTCCCACCCCATGCTCCAATGCTGAACCTGAAAATGCAATGATTGTCCCTGGGTTGTAGCACAGCCACAGATTCAATGTTGGAATGACAAAGTCCAAGGGCAGGTAGTTGCCCACAGTTACCAGCATGTCATACCATGGATCCCATCCATTGATATCCCTGTGGTAACAAGTTGCCCAATTCACCATCACAGACATGCAGCTATATGTGGAAGCTCCATATTGGCAGTATGGAGCTCATATCCAAATCCACCCACTGTTCCACCTGTTTGCCAAGGTGGATCAATGCTTCCCTGCCATCTGCATACATTCACAGATGGATGACATGCAGGATCACAGATAACAGGGCATTGGTGTTGGACATTTGGTCAACCCATTCCCTTGTAGAAGTGTTTTCTGTCCTGGATTTGAGCAGCTGTGAGGCTTCCAAGAAGCCATTTTTGGGCTTCAAGACAGATGAGTACTTGATTCACAAGGCAAGAAATGATCACCCACCCCATGACCCTGTTGAAACCATGCAGGTGACAGGTTGATGGTGCCTTTCAACTCAGCATTATCACAGAAATATGACTTGTCAGTCCACCATGCCTGTGGGGAAGCCTTTATGCTCTCCCACAGTGGTTCCCTCAGAAGATGAAGGTGGTTCCATATGTCAGCCTGCCATTCCATTAAGTCAGTAGAATATGAGATTCTGCATTTCCTTACCCTTCTTTTTGGGCTGAGAGCATCCAGCAAATACCATATGCAGATGGTGTTTGAGTCAGTCACCAGAATGGACAGCTCAGTCACTTCCACATATCTCTCAGCAGCTTCTGCATTGCAGGTTTTTCCACCCTGATTTTTCCCAATGTTGACTGTGGAAAGATGAAAACTTCCATCACACCATTGTGATGGACTTACTTGGGCAACAATAGGCCTGTGAGATTACTGATGATATGCAATCTGCTCCACATAACACCAGAAATGGAATTGATATATCTGGAAGGGTGCAAGGTCTGCTGAATACCATCTCTTGAAATCTGGCTTTCATGTATGATGCAATGCAGTCTGTTAGTTCCATTCACCATCCATGGGGGGTTTTAGACATGTCTTGCATAGTATTCATGCTTGGAGTGGATGAGGTCAGAGTTGTATAGTGTAGCTGCTTGCAGCTTGTTGGAAAATTATGGCATGTCAGGATGCTTGCCTCAGTATTTTACTGTGGTCCAATCAATATGTTGTGATGCTATAAGTGCTATTGGTGTTGGGCCCATCTTATGTTGCAACAGGGGTGGATCTTACTAGATGGACCCATCCTTGTTTTATGGTGATATAAAAGATATTACTGAAGGGCCCATCCATATATTATGACCATATAAATGATACTGCTGAAGGGCCCATCCTTATGTTGTGACCACATAAATGATACTGCTGAAGGGCCCTTCCATATGTTGTGATGCTATAAATGATATTACTGATGGGCCCATCTTTATGTTGTGACAGGGGTGCATCTTACTAGATGGGCCTGTCTATGTGTTGTGATGCTGTAAATGATATTACTGACAGGCCCATCTTTATGTTGCAACAGGCATACAGTGGCTCAAAAAACTGACCACATGTTTGTATGTTTTACATTAGTTATGACTAAATGCAATAACCCCTAACCCTAGCCCTAAACCATGAGCATATGAAATAGGGTACTTACTCTTGGCTTTCTATTGGTCCATGAATCAAGTGATTTGGATAGGAATTGATAGAATAGCAGCCATTTGAAAATGACATGTCATGCAGTCAGTTTTTTGACTTTAAGTTTTGATTACATAGTTTTGAGTTTTACAGTTTAAAATGCTGTGAGGTGCTTACTAATGCTTACATGGTATATCACATGGTCTATTTGATGATTTGTCATCATACAAACAATGCCAAACAATGAATTGGGACCATCAAGGCTCCCTCTTCTACCCCAACTCATGAAACCATCCTCCTGGTTCATCTGGGCCATTTTCTCAGAGTAATCCCCATAAATATTGGTGCCCACTACAGTAATGTCATCAGGGTATATGTCCAACACAATCAAACTCTTAAAAAATCTGCTTTCAGTCATCCTTGTGCTGTTTCCCCCACCCACACCTGACATGTTCTGCAACTAATCAGTACTGAGAATGCTGAAAAAGCCATGATGGTTAATCTGGCACTCTAAAACATGACCAACAATCCAATCACCTCTTATCTGGTGGGTTTCCACCTCAAGGGTGCTGGGTTGAGGGCTAGGGTGAGCTGAAAACCTTCATTACAGTCCAGGTGCCCTGGGGGGGATAGTCCACTGAACTGCTAGGAAGGAGATTCCATCAACCCATCTAGGCCTGGGTATTACCTATGGTCTTATATGACCAAATCACCCATTCCCAGTCATCCACAGTCAGCTGGGAGCACAGTCTAGCCATGCTTCCCATGCCACCTGAAGTGCACAGGAATGTTTTGTCTCACCCCAGCATTGAAACTAATTGTACTGTGGTGAAAATGTACTGGTTAAAAGGTGTTTTGTTTGTTCATCATTTTCTGATGTGCCAGATTGACCTCCATGGCATTTCCAGCTGTCTCAGTACTGATTAGGTGCAGAACATGTCAGGTATGGGTGGGGGAGACAGCACAAGGATGACTGAAAGCAGATTTTTTAAGAGTTTGATTGTGTTGGACATATACCCTGATGACATTACTGTAGTGGGCACCAATATTTATGGGGATTACTCTGAGAAAATGGCCCAGATGAACCAGGAGGATGGTTTCATGAGTTGGGGTAGAAGAGGGAGCCTTGATGGTCCCAATTCATTGTTTGGCATTGTTTGTATGATGACAAATCATCAAATAGACCATGTGATATACCATGTAAGCATTAGTAAGCACCTCACAGCATTTTAAACTTTGTAAAACTCAAAACTATGTAATCAAAACTTAAAGTCAAAAAACTGACTGCATGACATGTCATTTTCAAATGGCTGCTATTCTATCAATTCCTATCCAAATCACTTGATTCATAGACTAATAGAAAGCCAAGAGTAAGTACCCTATTTCATATGCTCGTGGTTTAGGGCTAGGGTTAGGGGTTATTGCATTTAGTCATAACTAATGTAAAACATACAAACATGTGGTCAGTTTTTTGAGCCACTGTATGTTGTGATGATACAAATGATATTGCTGAAAGGCCTGTCTTTATGTTGTGACATGGGTGCATCTTACTAGATGGGCCCATCCATGTGTCATGACCCTGTAAATAATAAATATTGAAGGGCCCATCTTTATGTTGTGACAGGTACATCTTACAAGGTGCCTGCCAGCAGCACCAGCCATGTTCTAGTATTGTGGTGAGGCTCCAATATATCAATGTCATATTGTTACTGCAACTTTTCTGGCACAATTTCCATTACACAACCACTTAGGTAACAGTGGGCCCTGTGAGGTGTTCATCATGTTTCACCAGCAGCAGACATTTTGGGAAGGTGGTGGGGATCAAAGTGGACTAGGTTCTGGCCTCTCTTCCCAAAACATGACAAGCCCTGGTCAAGACCAAGAATCACTAGTGGGTCGATTGCCATCCTATCGCCTCACATTGTGCTTGGCAGAGGTGAAGAGAACTCAAGTACTCATGAATGATCTTGTGTACTTGCAGTCCCAACTTGCAAATCAAAGTGCTATTTGATTGATGCATGCACAATTGCAAAGGGTAAGATTGTACAGTACTCATTCTTCAGACCTCAAGCTGGGTTAGCTCCCCATTAAGTGTTACAAAAAAACAAAAACAAAAAACTGCACCTATGGCATAGCAGCAGTGGCTCAGATCTCTAGGAACTCATGTGAAGTTCTGTACTAAGAGGCTCTTCTCATAAAGGGGCCACCTGCACAACCTGACAGATGTCTGCCCCAGGGACAAGCCTACATCAGAAATAAATTTGCAAAGTACCTGCACACACAATGAGTTGCTATCATGACTAGAGGTTCCTGTTGTATATTCTGTCTTTCATATTATACTTTCATCTGCATCCCACTTAGTATTATGGTGCACATTTGGCCATATTATATAATCACATTCATTTTCATACTCAAGTAGCATACTCACACCTCAGTTGGCTACTTAACCCAACTGAGGTGAGCACTTTCTACATCCTGTCTTTACACTCAGCTAATAGTCCTGTAGTATATATTCTACAGTTCCATGCCTGAAACTCAGTAGAAATCATAAGGCCACACCTGTCTTATACATCAAGATTGCAGTTGCTCCCAATCTGGCTCTATCTTCCAGCAGTCATGTCGAGGGGGCGGACCTGGACTGGGTGATGGGATTTTTCTCTGTGGAAGGCCTACTGGTCAGGTGGTCAGGTAACACATTGCCTAAAATCACGACGTATGATCGTCAACACGTTAGGTGCACGGTCCTGGCGACACATCCTGGTCGACACCTGACCTATACATTCCAATCCAGCCAGTGTATTAAACTGTCAATGTCGGCCTTCCATTTACGCGCTAGTCCATCACCACTTCTATGCTTAGACCTTGATTACTTGGCTTCAAGAAGTTATCGAGGCCAGAAACTACTCCCGACGCCCACATGCTCGTCACGACACAGCAGATATCTTTCGTAGTGGCCTCCACAGCTTGAAGCAACAGCGTTTCCGAAGGTGTCATGTTCAAACCTTCGATGGCATCAATGTGGGAAGTCGCACACAGCTTGAAGATCGGCCGTGCCCAATCTATTGAACCACCACCGCCAAGAGGGGAAGCACTACTCGGAACGTAAGGTGTCAACATGATCCGGAGTTGCACTTGTGTTTTCTTTGCAAAATCCTTTACCGCCTCCCGGGATTGTTCGCAGTAGCAATGAGCAAATGTCGCGTTGGCTGGAGTCGGCTAGCAGAGCGGTGGACGATAGTTCTGATTAACGACATCTAGTCCACGGTGCTGGACTCACCACCTGGTGTCGTCAGCACGTCTTCGATCCTCGTTTTTACCTTGAAAATATCATCGTTCGATATGTTCAGTACTCGGTGGTCCCACCTTTCATTTCCAAACCGGACGGGGACTAGAGATGGCACGAGCCCAGTGTCATATAGAATGAGACGAGATTATGAATGTCCAGTTGGATATGAGTATTACCAGGGAAGTTGTCAGACCAAGATCCGGAGTGCATGGCCTCGAATGCTCTGGAAAAATCGCGTAGCTTGGCGGGGTGGCGGATGGAGTATCGGATGGCGGGTTAGCCAAATTCAAGAAACCGTGCAGAGGCCAGAAGTAAAATTGCAGATCATTACCTCACGGGATGGCTCGCCGGGTTTGGGTGTGACGCACTTACAAGTCCATTTCCATCCTGTCTCGAGTGGTGAGGTTACCAAAAAAGTACGAACGAAATGACCCGCCTTACGAAGCCATCTACCCCAAGTTGCTGTCCCCATTGGCAGAAGGCCAAAATACATTGCTGTTCCATGCATGTCTTCTCCGGAAGCGGTCTCCCCAAAGCCAATATGTCCGCGTGGTCCCGTATTCTAGCTTCGCGGCACTAGTTCCATCAAAGTACAGAACTCTCAATGGACGAGTTGTAGCCAGTGTGAAGTGCTAGCATCCTTCAGCGGACTTGAGACAGAAAGCGGTGGATTCTTCTGGGTTTAAACCGACCCAGTCTGGCGTTTTGGGTACCTTGGAATCGATTACTGCATGATAAAGCAATGTCCCAGTCGGAATTATACCCGGCACGATGGCGTGACCTATAGTAATGGATGCGTTTGTGTCAATACGAAGTGACACAGGTCAGCGAAAAACGCCCAACTCCCACCATTTCTCATGCGAGTATTTGGCCAGTGTTGGAGAAGGGAGTGAACGGTCTCAAACACAAAGTTGCTAGTTGCATTTGGGTTTGGAGGCTCGTCAAGGCGCCAGCGTGGGAGGTTGCTACTTCCATATGAACCGGGATAAGCAAAAGAGAGATGGGTATCTCCTCTCCCTCCATCGATGGGATACAGTGGGACTTGTGTAGCGAATACGGACTGCAACGCTGAGACCGTCACGACGACGTGCCAAAGAAGGGATGACGACCTGCGAGTCATAATGGATGGCGCCCGCGGTGCTGAGGCTTACAGGTCAGTCAAGTTCTTGGCACGCTAAAAGGAACGGACAGCGGGCATCCCGAGACTTGAAAACAGGCGCGCTTTTAGCATATCCTGCTAATCGGTTCCAATATGATGTACTGTCTTCACTCTTCAGCAAGTTTGTTTGCATGAATCTGACTCTCGGTGTCACGAAACGGATCAACACTTGCAAGGGAGGACTCGAGGACAGCTGCCAACGGAGCTGTAAGCTTCAAGGCTGTGGTTGGTAACTTAGCACGTCGTAAACTGTTGTCGACCAACATAAAGTATTTCTGATCAGAGTGTAATTATTTGTTGAAAATGAGTCTTGATGCACGATGTCGCTCACCGATACACCACCGTCGCCCATTCATGTCCTGCGCACGCACAAAGACCCCGTGAACACTTTATTCTGTTCTCGAGACAACGACAGGATATACTCAGGTGATGCTAAAGGACGGATCGTCATTTCATCCACACGATCTCTGAGACCAATCGCCGACTGGCTTGCGCACACCGACTCCATCCTCGGTGTCGAAGAACTTGGACAAAGCCAGATCATAACGTTGGTGGTCAAGCTACGCTTGTATTGAGTTGGCACCGCTGACTCTATTCTCGGTGGTGAACAGACATGGCAGGGACAACAAGATCCACGTCTGGGAGCGCCCCGAAGAATCTGTAGCTATTCGGCAAGCCGGGGCAGCAACATTGACTGAGTCGTCTGCACCAATGCTGTGCTACTCGATGGACGTCAATGCACTGAACTACTGCCGATTCTCGCTTCTACCCTTGAATGAAAACAGTGCTCTCCTGGCAGTCCCCAACCTCGTAGAATCATCTCTGGTGAGCGGATTATAGTAATCTCTCAGCAAGTCTCAGACGAACATTAGCTCAGGCAGATGTCTGGACATTGCCCAGCAGACAGAGGCTCCACGCCGCCATCGGGAACTCCCAAAATGCCACATCCAAGTTCTCAGACGGTCGGGCTGGTAATAAGACAGGTAATCTTATAATGTTGTACGCTGGGGACCCAGTGATTGATATTATCAGGTATAATCATGGCTATGCAATTATATCATTTACCGTCCACGTCGGTAGCAAAAGGAGAGCTTTGTCTCCTTTGCGCCTACGAAGATGGCGGTGTTGTTCTCTACAGACGCATGGTACCGGAGGGAACACAAACGATCGAGGGACGAGGATGGGAAATGATGTGGAGAAGCAAGCTACACGTTGAGTCAGGTTTGTTCTTTCTCTGTTTCGGCATGTATGTTTGACAAAAAGACCTGTCAATTACAGTCATGGCGATGGTCGTGACCAAAGACAACAGCTTTGCTTTGACAGTTTCCGCGGATAATTTAATAGGAAAATACGATCTGGTGAATCTCTGGAGGTTCCCCCTCTCCAGAAGCTGCTTCACTAACGAAATTATTTCTAGACGTCTGGCGGATCGGAAACTGCCTCACCTGGTACAGCGTTTCGAACCAAGCACCCAGGGAATGGTGCCGTCGCTATTCGTGACGATGGCAGGGTGTGTGCAGTGGGTGGCTGGGATGGAAGGTGCGTCTTCAGCGCTTGTTGCTTCAAGCGACATACCAAGATCATACATTATCAGGGTGAGACTCTACTCAACCAAGTCTTTCAAGTCCCTTGGAACGTTTGTACACCACAAACAAGCCTGTCAAGCCCTGACTTTTACCTCGCCCTCTGATGTCAGAACACATGAGGCAATTGGTGATGACGAAGAGGACATGACTCCCCAGGAAAAGCTTCAGCGCAGCCGGTGGCTTATCACCGCAGGAAAAGATGCTAGGGTCTCAATCTGGGGTCTGATGAGTTTTGAAAAGCGATCATAGCAATCGTCCGGTGCCATTCTCGTAAATGGTGGTCACCATTGAACGCTATCTGCGCCTAGCGGATGCAGAGCGTGGACTCTTCGTCGCACCAGCAAGAGATGCGGTCCTTTTGCATTGATTCTGTTTCTTATATTGAGCGAGGCAGCCGGAACTTCGAGTGTAGAGATCGCGAATGCTGTCGCCCCTCTTTCATCAGGGTATAACGAAGCACGTCAGACGTCAAATCCTCAGGTTGAATGCTGGAATTGACTGGAGTACTTCGATACGTGAAACTTGATTCTATATATGTACGGTACGGACAAGTAGCATGTACAGCCTCTGATGTCTTGTTGTGCAACGGAAAGCAGTCCGGCCCTCTCACCCTGAGCCCCTTCCTACGCATTTAGCGTGACGGCGATCATCCACGAGTACAGTGTACACGCTAGTTACGAAGAAGTCTCACCAGGGATGAAGTTGTGGTATACTATGTAGCCTCCGTGGTTCGTGACAGTAAAAATACAATCCGCAGATAGACAAGAACGATAAATAGAACTCCAAGCCATAGTATAGTCAACACGAAAACCGGAAATAACAACTAGATAGCGTACCCAAAGCAAACGAGAGCCAACAACGCGGTACTAACTTCTTTATAGCATGCCAGCAGCCCGCAAGTCGCGCCGCAGCCTCGCCTCATCGAGTTCAGCTTGCGTTGGGATACGTGGTGGCGTAGCGTGGGCCGACGGCACGTCTTCAAGAGGGAGTCCCAAGACTTCTTCCAAGTTGTGGCGAATAGCGATGTCTCTTTCTATTTCCTCTGGCGTTGGCGATCCCTGTGCATTCGATGCGCGTATGGACGACTCCCAATGTTTTACACGCCAGAAGCCAATCAGCGAGGTTATGAAGATGAACCACCCTAGGAGCGTTAGCGAGTCAACGACAGCGAATGCAACTTTGGTAGTCATTGGCTTACCTAACGTCATGAGTAAGAAAGAGAGGAAGTCTCGGGAATTGAAAAAGTGGAAATCTTCTGAGGGAACGTCGTTGGGCGAGGTCGATGCGTAAACTGTATCCGTAAGTTGATCATCTGGAGCATCCTCAGGTATGGGTGCCTCAAACGCGTCTCCCCCTGTGCGGGAGTAGATGCCGTATTGGATCAACGTCAGCCCTAGGCCCGCCCTGGAACCGAACTTCGCTGCATGTGTAGTGTGAAGAAGATATGTGAGCAAGAAGCCGACGAATTGGAAGAAGAATGAGATGAATAGGTTGGCTACGAGTGTGACCATTGATCCAGTTGGAAGATTCTCGATGATCATCCCTGCGTCTGTATCGATGCCTGGTGGTGCATGGACAGTGGTTTCCCAGTAGGGTGGTACTGCGTCTGCTTGTGCAGAAGAGTATGACTATTATCGTGGCAGCGAGGATGAGCATGAGAATAGAAACAAAATGATGCGAGGACATACAGGTGGAGCAACATTCTGTTCTTCTTCAGGAATCAAGTATATATTACCATCGTCCGCACGCACCCGGGTGGGCGCACTGGGCTTCGCCGCCACATTCGAGAAAACGCCGTCATTCTGCGTTCCGCCGCCCCGGACGGCAGGATGTGATGCGCCGGCACTGGTTGGTAGCTGCGTGTAATGTGTAGGTAATATGGCGCCGACTGCTCGTCTGAAGAATGAGGGCCGAAGAACGGGTGGTTCTACGGGAGAAGTGGACAATACCCCGTTGGTGTTCCCAAAATCATTGGGAACCGCAGTAGCAGACAAGCGTGGGGGAGACCCAGGAGGCGGTCGAACGTAATCAAAGTCTCTTTCGAAGTCATACGCTGCTACACCTGCCCCATCTGAACCCGTTTTGGATGACGACTCAGAGCATCGATTCACCGGAGACGTATTCTGTGTTAATGGCGTGAATACAGAGTGGTGTTGGTCGGGTTCGAGGTCTTCGTCATCTGAACCGAACGCCTCGTCGAGCTCGCGATCGGCGCCTCTGGACGGCTGCTGCGTTGGGAGTGGTGCGTATCGACCAGGCATGGTCAAACCAGGATTATCGTCCCAAATTCTACTCTAAAATGTCGGTGACGGTGGACGAGGGCCGATCCAGGTCGTGCAACCAGAATGTGCTCCTCGTCGTTCTTTGCGATGGGCCGAGTTGCTTGTTAGCCATCCCCAACAAAGCAGTTCGTTCCCGCGCTTGCCTGGCGGACCACCCGGGCCGCAGATCTCCTTTAACTCCGCTGAGCCCGCCCGCTGTCCACAACTCAGTTCTTACAGTGGTATCGGTATCTCGAAAGCCATGCAAGCAAATAATCTGCTTCTAATATGCCGCTTGTTGCAGAGAAATAGGATACCGAGATGCATGGCTCAAAAGCTTCATACACAGGGGGGTTTGCCCTCGAGAGCCGCTTCGGTGGTAAGTGCCGACGGTATGTTTTCCGCTCGGAACCATGCATTCTGATCAGCATGTCAGCGGTCCCTTTCTACTCGATTAACCCTTCGTCATAGGCGATTTTAATGGCTCAATTCAACAACGTCTTAACGCGTCTTCTGCGACGGCTTCTCAGCCAGTTTCCTACGACCAATTAGGAATTCGTTCCCGAAGTGACATCCAACCCTGAACAGAACAACACGCCGATAGTTAGTATAGATGACAAGAAGGTGTCTGTCCTCTGGAGCCCTCAGGACTGGTCACGTTTGTATGTCTTCTTCATTTACGTCAGTTCCTGCTCTGATATGAGCCACCGTTGCGTAATTGGCTCCTGACTTCCTATCTAGTCATCATATGTGGCTGCGTGACCATTGTAGATGCCCGAGCTGCTTCCACCCGGTGACGAAGCAGAGACTGGTCGACACGTTCCAGGTAATTTCATCCCATATCTTCACGGCTTCCTGTACCTATACTTATCTGGATTCTAGATCCCACGAGACATCAAACCAACTAATCTTCATGCATCAACAGGGGGATTAGAAATAATCTGTATGTTGGCTGGATTTTGACAGTCGGAAGTTGTGACAAGGTGATTGATGAATCAGGGTCCTCACCATCAACGGAACACCATTCGTCATTTTACCCCTGGTCATGGTTACGGGAACACACATATGATCCACCTCAACGCCTTAAACATCGGGCTAATGAGTAAATACCTTTTCTTCTTTTCCCGCGAACGTAATCCTTTCCTATCGTGTCTTCCTTGCTTAGGAGAGTTCTCTGGGGGACGAAGATCGCTAGCTCGCCCCCAACCATCACCTATGAGGAAGCGATTGCAAAGGGTGATGCGGGTTTATACAAGTGGCTGAGCAGCATCGTACGTTCTCATGGAGGTCGTACCTGCCCATCTGACTTGCCTCTAGGACCGCTTTGGCTTCTGCTTCGTTTCTGGAGTACCACCAACAGCCGAAGCTACCGAGAGACTTTGTGAACGCATTGGCTTCATACGCGAGACACAGTGTAAGTGCCCCTATTTCTTAGAGCATAGGTTCATCATTAACTTTATTTAGACGGGAAATTCTGGGAGTTTACCGCTGATCTCGCTAAAGGCGACACCGCTTACACCAACATGGCGCTCGGCGCTCACACCGATACTACTTACCTTGTTCGTCCTGACCGTTTCTAGTCTTCCAACGTGGCGATTTTGATTATTTCCCTCAGACTGATCCATGTGGTGTCCAGCTTTTTCACCTCCTTTCGCATACCGACGGTTCGGGTGGCACAACGTTGTTGATCGATGGCTTCTATGTGGCCTCGCTCCTAAAAGAGCTCCATCCTGACCACCATGACATCCTATCTCACGTTCCGATACCAGCCCATGCCTCAGGAGAGCCCACAGCGCTCTACAGGCCTGGCCCACCCTTTGGCTATCCGACGTTACAGTATGACGTGATCACAAAGGAACTGATCCAAGTAAGGATGGAATAACGACTGATCGAAGCGTGATGAGCCATTTGAATTCCGGAGGTCGTAGAGAAGTGGTACATTGCTACCCCTTACAAGTTTTTCTAGAGACACCTAGTGATAGATGGCGATACAGGTACGATGCGATCAGGGCATGGAATACACTTCTTATTAGCCCTGACTCCGAGTACTGGGTTCAACTTGTACCCGGTACCGTCCTGTGTAGGTTGGTGTGCTGACTAACGTCCCTGTCATACTCATGCTCTGCACCAGCGATCAACAACCACCGCGTCCTCCATGGACGTTCCAAATTCGACGGAAAACGTCGCGTCTGCGGGGCATATATTGGCATGGACGAATACCGTTCCAGGCTCGCGGTCCTCCGGAGGAAATTCGATCCCCGTTTCCAAGATTTTGACGTCCAGGCAGCTCAAGGGCGGCCCGAATGTCTGGAACTCTGTTCTTTAAGGCGATTGCTTGTTTGAGCCTCAAGCCGCGTTAATCTCAATCGTGTTTACTATGAACAAGTTATTTTAAAGGTGGTAACTTATGCATCACCTCAACCGCGTACAAACTAGCCTAGATATACTGGGATGAAATGAAATTTATTCGTACGTGCATGTACACCTTGATCGAAGGACTTGAGAGGCATTGTCTGGTCTTTGCATTCGGTTGTCTTCTTCCAAACGGGCCTTTAATACTTGTTTCGCATTTTCGTTATTGTTAAGGGCCGTCCCAAGTCCTAGTGTAAGGACTGTACTCGCCGCATGCACACACTGCATTCCGGGACTATTGGAAACCCACCAGTCTGTCGGGAAACACTATTTAAGTAAACGACATCGTTCGTGCATACTTCAACCTACTTCTTTACATAATTCCCCAAGGCCATCCGTTCTGCTAAAACGTTGCATGACCGAGTGCCCCCAACTCAATGTGTTCGACGAGTCTTCCCGCCCATATCAAAACACCAGCCAGGTAAGTTTGTTCCATTCAAAAAGTGCTATTAGTACACGGGAAACGACATCTTATTTCATATTCAGAACATCGACATTGCAGCACCGACCAGCTTCTGCATTTCTTCAGGTCCAAGGTTTCCGCCGCCGCCGATCAGCTTCATCGCAGTAGCAGCAGCAGTTTGCATCGCTAGAAGATGAGAGTAATCAGTCCATGGTCGACATCCCACGCGGAGCTTGGTAATAATAATCGGTAGAAAGGTACTTACCATCGGACTTGCCCGCGGAATCGCCGGACCCTCCACTTCCCCCATTCTTCTTGTCAAACAATTTCCCCGCCTGAGACATGGCTAACGAGACCTTTCGAATAAACATTCCTTTAGAAGCGTACATAAAACCAGATCAAAGAGCCACCCACAATCTTATCTTGCATCGAACTTCCCTTACTAGTGGGAGCAGGCGATGCGTCTTCATCGTCATCGTCGTCGTAAGAGGACTTCCGGCCACCAGTAGGTTTGTTTGGTTGCAGACCACCTGCAGGTGCGTTTGAGTATCCCGCGTCATCGTCGTCTGCGTTCGGACGACGTCCACCAGGCCTTCCACCTGCCTCGGAGTGCTTGCCAGCTGCGGTGAGTTTGAGAGCTTCCACTGCCGCAGCTGCACCGAGCACATCGGGGTCCGCAGGCGCATTTGAATCCCCACCAGGCCTGTCAGGTAACCATGCAGTACGATCTCAGTAGAAGGATCGGGTCATGCTGAGGAGGTTAGGCTTACCCATATACCCGCGCGTGCGCGTCGAGATGTTGCTGCTGTTGGCGTTTATCCCTCTCGTCATCGTCATCGTCGTAGTCGTTACGCTGTGGCCGACCATGCGCGGGAGTGCCCGAGTAAGTGTCTTCATCTCGGCGACGACCGTCACCGTATCCGGGAGGTTTTCCTCGGGGCGCATCGTATCCAGATGAACTTGTCTTCGACTCGTAAGAAGAGTCAAGGTCATCGTAATCACCTCGTCGTTCAGACCCGTAAGTTCCAGGCCCAGAATCACGTCCGCCGTAACCACCCTTAGCGGGACCCGGTGCGTCATCACGTGTACTGGCAACACCACCAGACCCTGACAAGAACCCGCCAGCTGGTGTATTCGGACCCGAAGAGAACCCTGAAGACTGGGTGGTTCTGTTTGAGTATTCACCTCCATCGCCACGACGAGAACCACCATACGGCCGAGAAGTATCGGAAGCTGAAATATTCGTACCGTACTTGGATTCAGGGGGTCCGTATCCAGAAGACTTAGCACCCGAGTACTGGTTGGGATCGCTGACGTTATAAGCCGTAGAGCCTTTAGCGCCAGGGTATTCGTCTCTATCTTCGTGGTTGCGAGACGCACCGTATGACTGAGGTGGGTTGTAGCTGGAGCTCTTGGCGCTATACTCGTCACGGTCATCACCATGGCGAGGGCCACCATATGACTGAGGAGCACCATGACTCGAATCACGCCCAGCGTACCCAACACCGGGATCTAAGCCCTCACGGCGAGGACCACCGGAAGCATATCCACCGGCACCACTGCCAGGGCCAATTGGACCCTGAGGAGCTCTACCGTAGGACTCGTCGTTATCACGGTGCCCCTGGCCACCGCTGTATCCCTGGGACGCGCCGTAACGAGAACCTCTCTCTTCATAACCAGAGTCGCCGTACTGGGACTTGGGACCACCGTACTCGGCGTCGCCGCGATGATCAGGATCACCCGACGGGCGTCCTCCATAAGATGTATCGGGTTCGGCCTTGTAACCTTCGTAAGGACTGTGGGAAGATCCGAACGTTGTAGGTGGTCGACCACTGTCCAAGCCTGGGGTACCGAAAGGCGCGCCAGCAGGGTGTGAAGGTGCATAAGCCGAAGAGTACGTTTCATTTGTCGAATCGTGGGGGCGAGCGTATGCCCCCCCAGTCCCATAGCCATGAACTTGGGAGGCGTAGGGTACGTTCGAGCGATTGTTGGACTCGCAGTCGTCATTTTTGTATCTGTTTACGGTTGACGCATATCCGTTAGTTTTCCGCACCACCTAGGGCTACAGAGTAAAGATCTTACAGATTAGAGTCCTGACTCATGTAACCTGGGGCGTATCCTCTACCGCCGGTCTGAGATACGGCAGATCCATACGATGGTGGGGCCCCGTATCCCTGCGGAGCGTATCCGCCTCTCCCATACTGATTTCCCTCCCGATCGCCGCTATAGTAGTCTCCAGCTTGGGATCCATCATGGCGATGATGGCGTTCCCCACGCCTCTCTTCGTGTTGTTCCCTACGCTCTTCTCTGCGTTCGTGCTGATATCCACGATCGACCGCCCGAGTCAATATAATTTGCCGCTTAGAAGATGAGAAGGTTAATACACACCAGACCCATGTTCGCTATCGATCACCGTGGTTATGGAAGGACGTAAGATGGCTTGAGATAACACAGTGAGCTGCTGATCAGATATCAAACACCAGCGTTAAATACTTCGGCGAGACCAACTATATTTGGGGCCGGGGGCCTTATATTACGCGGAGGTCGTTTTGGAATCTGGGCTATGTCATAGTCAGGCAATGCGTTCGGAGTTGGTTCGGAGCATTCCGAACACCAGCCCCGCCAACGGTGTCTGGGGTCTTGTTTTTGATTCTTTTTCGGGCAAAATTAAGGCTAATACTGCAGCGATTTCACTCGACTTCGTTCTAGCAGCTTTTCTCTGCTCGACGCCTCAGCAAAGGGACCCATGTCTCGGAGGGGCCGCTCAGAGTATAGCCCGTATCTGATCCCCATGGATGCAACCAGATGCTAAAAGTCAAGCATTACATGCGAGGTGCCATTCCTGGACGAGTAAGTGGGCTTGTTCATATTCCCTGATAGGCTGCTGAGTTTCTGATCTTTCTCCTGATATGGCGTGCCAGTTACAAAGGGGATGAGGTGGCCTCTGTCGAGGCCAACCGCCGTGCCATCCGGTCACTGTGCATATTCCGCGATAGGCTGCCCAGTTTATGATCTCTCTCCTGATATGCCATGCCAGCTACGAAGGGGACGAGATGGCCTTTATCGAGGCTCACTGCCATTCCATCCGCTGCAGTCACACACAGCTCTTCCATGTGATACAGGCGGTCCGTGAAGATCGTGGTGCAGTCATCATGCATCAAGCATGGTCCTCGCAGTCCTCGACGTCCGGAATCAAACCAGGACGCAGAGGCGGCCGTTAAATCCGTACCAAGCGCCGCCATTATGTAATGGCAGTGACGGTGTGTTTTGCGAGTCGTAAGCATCGACGCTGCCACCTGATTGGCCTCCCCACGTGTCGTGGGATTTGTGGGCCCATCGACTCGATCCCATACCAGTTGTCTAGCACCAGCATATCCGTAGTTACGCAATCCTTTCCTGTATGTCATGCCCTAGTTTTTGTCTGTCCATTTCACTCGTTCTATTTATGTGTCTCACCGACACATCCATCACAATATCAATATTCCCATCCTTCATCTAACTATTCCAGAGGACCGGAATGTGATGGGGCTTTGAGTATGTAGGGTACTTGAGTTGGCTATCCTGCAGCTGGTCCTTGTGTCAATGGCGCGGCAGGCCGCAGTTTGCAACGTGTCTAGCAGCGTTTCTGTGCTTACTGCAACTTCAAGCCCCTTTCCTGTCTCATTCTCAACGTTCGACCCTATCCAGAAAAGTTTGAACAAAATACATACTGATTTCCCAATGGCTCGCCGTCTTTTTAGATCTGGAAAGCCATCTAGCTCTGCATCCGACTTTGTCTCTGTAAGGAGTTCATTTTCCTGCAGGCGATTGTAGTTACCGATTCACCAAGAAACAGTCAAAAGGCGGTGTAGCCTTGCATGTTGCAACGTCGGGCAGTGTCTTTCGGATGACGCTTGCAAAGATAAGGCACATCTTCCACCGGTCGAATCAAGGCTCCATCACAGCAAAGACTGCTGACTCAGGCACGCGCAGGCATGCTCAGGAGCAACGAGAACAAACCCAGGCAACCCTAACTCAGGATGTGTGTAATCTACCTCATCCCGTTGTTGCGGTGACCTTGAGTAACAATTGTGTTGGACAGACTCAAAGGCCAACCCACAGCTCAGAAACAAGGCCCATGCTGGATGCGTATGGTGCCGATACTGTAGTTGGGCCGTTAGGCAACACCAGTGAAGGTGCTGTTGACCCCGCCAGTGGCGCCAGTTCCACACTCAGTCCGGTCTCGGCATTGGTAGGCAGTGAAGTCGACGCTGTTCGGCAGGCCCTGTTTGTTGCACAAACTAATACTGCGACTGTCAACATCCCAAACCTCAACACATACCTCCAGTATCTCACAAAATTTAACGCTGTCATTACTAATATTGCCAATGTACACTCATTTCGCTACATTTACTCACAAGCTCTGATGTAAGAGTGCAGGTTCACCCCTATGCCCAGATGGCACTGGTAATCTTAACCAGTGCTGCTCGGGTATGTGTTCACACCTCGACTATATGCGCTGTCGCTGTGCACCTCACAGATCCCTCTGTAGTTGCTTCTCAATCAAGATGACCAGGACAGGGCGGTGTCACACCTCCTTGAAACACTCAGCACAGTCTATAAATTCCTTCTGGAAGAAGATACCGTTCGGAGTTTCGATAATATGAAGGAAATGTTGGGGAAGATCGCGCAGGTAGCTAGCGATGCGGCCCAATTTATCATAAGTTACTCGGAGACGAAGAATTTCTGTACGCTGGTTGACCTTTTATCACAAGTCTGATTCGAATTCTTCTCAGGGAAGACACTGGGGAAGAACATAACATCGGAGACGCGGACCGAGGCTGATGGTTACGTCAAGTTGCTGAACAGCTTGATGCAACAGTACCAGGACCTTGCGATCCAGAATATTCTCACCAACATGCACCATGTACTTGAAGATCTGAACTTCATGCGTGGTGAACTGGGCCTCATACATGGGGGATCTGGGAGAGATGAAATTGGAAGGCATGGCTTATGCAGGTGTGGGTTTCAATAAGATGAAAAATGCCTATGGTGCACATCACCTAGTCATCTCTAGCTTTGTACAAACTTTTCAGCACATGCAAATCATCAAAGAATGGCTTAATACTTGGTAAAAAGCTTGAATTCAACATTAGAACAAACATGAGCCAAGTTCATGACTTGGAAGCCAACTTATCTAAAATGGTGTGATGGCTGGGTGGGAACACAAACATCTGCAATTCTACAAACAGAAGACTTTAAGTTACATGATTGAAGCCATGAGGACAACTTCAGCAAAAATTCTGCTCACTGGCCCAGCTGACAGACCCAGCCTAAGTAAGGTGGGACCCAATGTGTCCCATTGAAAGGGTGCTGTAGGCAGCCTCAGTAGTGACTCAACTATGGAGAGAACAGTAATGAAACTACTGTATAAGCGTGCACTCTAAATGCAAGTAAGCATTGCACTTAGAAATACCTGACGAATTATGCAATGTGGTATTGTTAATTGCCAAAGTGAATCCATCCTTGCCTTCAATTTATATCCAATAATCACCTCCTACATCGTCGCCCTGCTCTACCCTGGATCCCCCTCATGACGATCTGAAATAGCTCCCGTTCGCAAATCGGTTTCGGCATCGTCCAATGCCCATCCCCACACGGACAAGTGTCTCCAGCGAGGCACGCCCATTAATTAGTAGATCCTCGTCCCACTCCACCATCCCCTTCTCGAACAGCATGACGATCGTCGAACCGCCTATACCATCCACGCCAGTCAGACGCTGTTGCGGAGGCTACAAGAACTAAATGTACGGCACTCACCAAACGCAAAATACCCCAATTCGTCTCCTCTCGACACCCCCTGTCCCTCGTGCACCACTGTTCGAATGCTCCCCACCATCATCGCACCCACGCACACTGCCATAACGCGTCCGAACTGGGGACTATCTATGGGTATAATCTTCCTTGCATTCTCGCCGTACACGTCCAGCGCACTGCGGATAGCTTGAGGCTGTTCAACAGATCAGTTCGGGCCCACAAAAGCTAATGCGGAGGAAGAAACCAAGAGACAGCAACGACGTACATTGACAGTATAATACTCTCCAGAAATATCCGTCATTTTCCCAATTGTTCCATCGACTGGTATATGGAACCGATGGTAATCCTGTGGTGCAAGACGGAAGATCGCCAACGAGCCATGGGTATACCGCTCCGCCTCATCCCTGTGACCGTCACCGAGTAATCTTGCGATCGTAAACTCCCTCCCCTTGATCCATAGACGCGTTGCATCTGATACATTCTCGAACACCATGAGACGACAGTCAGCTGCGCTGACCAGTCGGCAGGGGTCGTCGGGGTTGTCGAGTGGTCGGGCTGTCGGTTTAAGTTTCCTAAGGGTCGAGAACCATAGGTGTGAGCTACAAACGTCCCAAACCGTTATAATGGATGCTCACCGATAAAAGAACTCATTGAAAGTTTCTAACAAGCACAGATGTGAACGTTAGAGCGAGGCAATCAGTGAGAAACAGGACAACACACTAAAGGACTCGACTGGTTCGAGGATCTCGCGCACGTCAAGTTTATGGAAATCGATGAAGGGTTGTATGTCCCGGACGGACTCGGGTGAGTCGTATTTCATACCCTGCTTGATCGTCAACGACTTGAGCAGTCGACGCGCCCTAGCACCTTCCATTCTCCCCCGAGCTCCCTGATCTATGGTCAACGCATCAACTAGAGTGTGAACTGCAGTGAAAACCTACTTTGTACAACAATCGAATCCCGAGTCGAACGTAAACTTGCATCTTTTCCTCTTCCAACTGTCCAGTCATGCGATTCTGCACAATGATATTCGCAGAATTCTACAAAAGGAGGTGCATTAGCGTACTGCCTCACCACGAAAGTTCGCAACCAAACGTACCGCTCCAAGTTTATAATTACCACTCGACACCTTAGTGATAATTTTCGTGTACCACTTTCTCTGCGCCTGACTTGCAGTCACGAAATTGCCCACGACAATTCTATCGACTCTCGCCCAATCTTTACTAGCACAAATCGCAAGATGCGTCACGATATCTACCTCCCCTTTCGAATTCATCCTAGGTCGATGACACAACGGACAATTCTTCACGTTGATCACTCGTTCGAAGCGATCTTCTCCGACCGTCGACGTCGCAGAACCCATGTCTTCCGGCTCGGAAGAAGGATACGAGTCTTGTCTTCCTCCTCCTCCCCATCCCGAAGGCGATGTAAATGAGCTAAACGTCGTCGATAGCGGTTCCGCCACTTGTACGAGCGGACGTTCACTCGGCTCCGTCGAATACGTCTCCACGTACGTCGACATCGTCGACTCATTCCCATGCATCAACGCTGTGCCCAATGACAGCCCCGAGAAATCCAACTCATCCAACAAAAACGGTCTTCCACTCCCACATAGACCACCTGGCTCGTCACCTACTGCGACCACACCTCCCCCAGGCGTCTCCGGCGAACTATCCGGGAAGCTATCCTCCGTGTTCAATCGTTTCTTCTCGCTCTTGGGTCTGCACAACTCTGCCTCAAGAGAATGAATGGCCTCTGGGAACGTTAACTCGTCCTCTATGGGGCGTTTATCGTGTCTTATGAAGAACGAATCGATAGTTTGCGGGGATAGTGTCGAGCCGAGGGAATCCAACATCGAAGTCAGTTCGATATGTGAAAGCGTGTCCGTATCGTCTGCGTCGTATTGTTTGAGATACTGTGCCCAGAACCGTTGTCGAAGTAACGCATATGGCTGGAATTTGGCCCTGGACAAAAACCAACACGTGAACATGCCTTTCGCACCCCACCCCAACACGCGCGCACAGAAAAACGAACGAGAGAATCCAAATACCTGAAATGTAACATTGGCGTATGTTTCGCCTCCCAGCCCACTTCCTTCGACGTTCCAAGCGGTAAGCTAAACTCCTTCATCGGATGACTTCCGTCCTCGTCCAAGTCATACAACCCAAGTCCGGCCCGCGGCTGAGGCGCATCCTTGACAAGTTCAGAAACGTCAAACTTGGCGTCGCCGACGTAGTCGTTTGAAGAGAGTTTGTCCCAGTCTAGGACTGTGAGCATGACTTTGAACGAGGTCTCGTATCGACGGACGTGGAAGAGCAGTTTCTCGTCCCATACGGGGTTGAGAGAGTGCCGGATGACGCGAGTGCGGAAGACTTTCTTCCCAAAGGAGATCACTACAAAAGGGTCCATGTCCCAACCCGTCCTTGTCACTGTCATCGCAGGGTCAATCACCATCACGAGGGAGGGTAACCCAACCCAATCAGCACACACACATCGACATAGAAACGAAAGACAACAATGCACCACTCACTATTCTTCAATTTCGGCAAATCCGTCGCACCCTGTATCTCCAACATCACGATCCCAACGATATCATTCGCCGTCGAAAAATTATATTCGTAATTATTCTGGGCTGCGCTTGATTTACGGCTGAACTTCATCTTGTGATTTGTCAGCGTCGGGATTGCGCCAGCGCTCATGGACCGACGGTGTCCGCTTCCTGGGGACAAAACTACTGTAGGAGGGGATGGAGCTGCGGAGGACAAGGGTGCAGGGGCAACAGTGATGGCGGGGACATCACCAACCGCAGCAGCAGCAGCAGCGACGTCAATAGTACCAGATGTACCAATAGTGCCAGCACTGGCACTACCACTCGCACTGCTACTGCTGCTGCTGCCACCTGATGAAGCAGACGGGGTAGGCGCAACCTCATACGAAGGTCGTGTAGACAACGGAGGTCTTCTCGGAAATAATCTCGGCAACTTGGTCTTACCCGTAGGAGTGATAGGTGTCGGAGTCGCAGTTGCAGTATCCAAGTTCGGTGAGGGTCTTGCCGTGTTCGGTGATCGCCCGCTCTGCCCCCCATGTTCGACTCTGTCTCTGGCCGAAGACGAGGGAAACGAAGGAATAAGGAGACGGGTTAAACGTGGAAAGGACGGCTCGTCGAAGTCTTCGTCGTCTGAGCTTCCGTCATCTTCGTCATCGGAACTTATGCCGCCGTCGTCTTCGAAGGCTGGTCCAGTTAAGTGGGACCGCAGCGTGCCTATGCCCTCCGTCTAACCCCGCCATGTCGAGAAACACAAACAAGAAAGGGCGATGGAAGGAATGTCCATGTCAACACACCGACCACACAGCAAGGTGAGTGCGCCACTCACCGGAGGCGCAGACACAAGCGACGGTCTCGAGCGCCTGCTAAACTCCGCATATACCTGTTCGAAGCCCATTGTTTGCGTTCCACCGCCATTACCGCCACCGCCACCGTTGGCAGGCGACAGTGGAGGCGCAATGAATCCGAGTTTGACCTTAACGGAACCGAAGGGGTATGTTGCCGCACGTGTGGATACGAGTTTGAGAGAAAGAGGCTGGGGCAAGAATGGATGATGAGTCCGTGGACGTCGATGTAGTACTCTTAAGAACATACCTTGTTGCCTTCGTCATAGAACCCAAATCCTCCCTGTTCCTCCGGGAACCAATCCTCCAGTGGCAGTGGCACTTCACCCAAATATTCCTTCTTGATCATCCCATCCTTGTCCCACACTACGATCTCGAGTGCACCGAGCCGATCTGCGAGGGAGAGGTACAAAGGGAAATCGAACGTCGCGTCCTTGATGGAAAAGTCCGGGTTGGAGGTTCGCTTGAGGACGGGTGTGTGATGTCGGGTGTTGAGGAGAGATACGACGACAAATCTGTTCCGAACGCAGCCATGTATCAACACTAACGCATCACCCAGTTAAAATGGAACTCACGGATCACACATGACACCCCTGCCTCTCATTGCCAGGTCTCTGCACGCCATCACCCGCACTCTGAGCACCGCAACGGGGCATTCTCCAGGAGACGGTGAGAGATGGGCTCTTCCAGACCCACGTCCACCCGACACGCGAACTGGGAACTTGGCGGCTGTTTTGAGCGCTCGGCCGAGTTTTTGGGCCTTCTTGGGGACGTGGGGCATGGGGTCTTGGTCGTTCTGAACTGAGTTTGTCGTGTATATCGTGGATGTAAGATGTATCTAGGACAAGCTTGGAGCGGTGAAGATGAGGATAAGTAGTTTAACGAAGCCGATTAGCACTGCTGTGACTCCACAGCAAGCGTTTGGATAGCTCAGTGGATTGGAAGCAGTGTGGGGGCGATTCAAAGATGGTCCGCAGCCCAGCGCTGTCGACGTCACCCCACAGCAAAGACCTTCACAGAGATCACCCAAGCACACACGCCAAGACTGCCAAATGAATGATGTCGGATCGATTATAGATCCATCAAATGTAAAACACGATGGTGATATGATATGATACGGTGATGCCAACGAAGAAGTCCATGAAAAAATTGAAAAATACAAGGTTATCAGGGTCCATGCAAAAAAAAAAAGAGGGTCCCATCATCGATGATATCGTACGAAATCAACGTCAAGATCAGGATGCGATCCAGACCACAACATCCACGCCTCCACATGACCCACCCCACACCGCCGACCACAGCACGACGCAACCGCCAAGAGAATGATCCTGCACCCTCTCTGAGACATGTGATACTCATTCAAGACAAGAAAACCATGGCAAACAGCACACCGAGGAATCCAGCTGTCATCGAGATGCCCGTGGCAGTGGCAGCACTGTTGGACGTCGTCGCAACGGGTGCACTAGCAGACCCCGATTTCGTGCTCGTAGCAGAAGCACCGCCGCCCCCTGGTCGGACCGCTGAGTGGGTACTCTTCGGAAGACCAGTGTAGAGAGCGGTAGAAGTGTACGTTACGCAATTTGAAGGACGAAGGTGCCTCAGGGGTATAAGGAACGGTGGTGATCGGACCCAATGACTCGGGAGGTTGGAAATACGTCATCGTAGCCCCTCCAGACACATACACACCCGGCGGTGACATGTTGTCCGCGTCACAAACCTCGAACGTGCCGTTCTTGGCTCTGTTAGGTGCGTTGTATGCACATCCAAGACGGTCGTAGATGTTTTGGCAGAGCGCTGGGCCAGTGTTTTTCGCAGGGTCGCACACCTTGATACAGAAAGCGTTTGCACCCATGAAGCTGTGATACGGTCAGATATCCCACAATTCAAGACAAGATGACAGCGCCTTACTTGGTCCAGTCAATGATTTGCTGGTACGAGTCGTTGTTGCCGTTGCTACCCGGGAAAGCGTTGGAGTACATGAGACCACCCAACGGGTTACCTCGCTAAGCGACGCAATCGTCAGCTCGAACACGTTTACCGTTGCAATCGACATACCAAGTCAGCACCGTGAGGATCGAGTTCACCTCCGTAGTCGTCCGGAGTCATGTTGATCTGGGACTGGTCGATGAAACCAGCGATCTGGATGTAATCGGGCGTCTTGAGGACTTGTACGCCGCGGAGAGCACCGCCTGGGATGAGGCGTGTACCGTGGCCTGGTTTCGTGCACCACGCGACTTCCTCTGCCTCGGTTTGACCGATGGTCGAGTTTGGCTTCGGCGGTGCCCACAAGCAGAAGTCTGAGACTGGGGTGTCAGCCACCAGGTTGCACGCCGCCGCCCTGGTGCGTACCGTCAATGTGGTTCACGAACGACGTCTGGCACATGGACTGCTGGTTCTGCGTCGTGGAATTGCAGACGTTGTAGCCTACTTGAGGACCGCGGATGGCAGCGGTATCATAATCCACTTGGTACGGCTGTTACCCACCCCCTACTTGTCAGCGCTGTCCTTGCACCGACAACCAAGCACCTACGATTCCATCTGGGTAGTTGTAGTGTTTGTCGACGAGCGGGATTGCGTCTGCGGGATCGGGTTGTGCGAGTACGACGACGGAAGCAGCGACCACGAGAAGGACGGAACGAGCGACTCGGCGAGCTTGCATGGCTCAGTTAAAACAATTAATTTCGGAGGATAATATTCGCCGTCGTCGTCGCCCGTGATGAACAAGTAGTGACGAGAGGCGACAGGAGGCAATTCGCTGCACTCAAGTAGACTTCGGTCGAGGATGTCACGTGAGCTGCACGGCAGAATGTGCTCGCTGCACAGAAAAAGATCCCCTCAGAATGCACTCCTTAGGGCTGAGCGTGCCAGCATTGCATATACTGCAACAGCAGACTGGAGACCTTTACGACCAGAGCTCATTATGATTGGCGTCAGCTCTCATACGCACCGACTACAGCAACGCTCGGACCCCGAGTACAGACAATGTCGTAAATTGAAGCCATCGTTCTGTAGATCAGTGGCTGTAGGTTTTGACTGCGGCAGAAAAAAGGCTCGCCATGACGGCAGAAAGTACTCGAAAACGCCACGAAGTCATCGGCACCGCCACCGGATCGACCGCACAAAAACATACCCCGATTCCGCTCCACGTGACGACTACGTCACTCCGATCGTCATATGTGCCCAAAGTTCCTCCACAATGACGAACGTACGGCGTCGACGATCGCCGTTATAAAAAGCCAACCTCTTCGCCCGCTTCTCTCTTCCCTTCGAACCCCCTAAAAATTCATCCGACCGTGTTTGTCAAAAACTGATCGAACGAAATGGATAAACTCGCCTCCATCATCGCCGCTGTCGAGGCTGGGAAACTGCCGACCCAATCCCAGATCACCGACTGCACCGACTACACGCTTACACATCTTATCACACCCCTAGAAGAGGACGATTCGTTCAAGCTGAGCGAGTATGGCTCCATCCTAGCTCAAGACTTACGAGAAGTCCTCCTTGCATACAAAAATCTTGGACTTAACAAAAATTGTACGTCGTGTACTTCTCATTTTTCTGCGCGAATGAGCTGACCGTGTGGTATTTTACAATGTAGATGACAACCTCGTTCAAGAAACCCTCTGGCACTTGGAGGAATGCAATCTCTCCGAAGTCCGCGTCGAGCTCGTTTCAAGTGAGGAGACAACCGCCGACCTCGATGCCTTCCGCGCATCCATCCGCACACTCATCAGAATCCTCTGGGCAAATATCTCAGGCGAGGGGACGAATCTCCTCAACGACTTTGCGTCCTTTTCGCGGATCGCTCTTGCAGATTTCGCGGAAATAGTCGAATCACAAGCTGCGCACGCCAAAGAGAGTTTGCGAGAGTTCGATACGCAGGTTCAGCAGGGCGAAAGGGATAATCTTGGTAGGAGGAAGAGGACCCAAGGAGAGATAGAGCAAGAAGAGGCCGAGGACGCGAAAGTCAAGTTTGAGAAGACGATGGATACGGTTAAGGAATCTGGTTCAAAGGTTATCGGCACTGCACAGTCTGTGCAGGAGACCGCCAAGGAAACCAGCGAACGCGCGGCGACCCGGCTTCGAGAGGCCTATTTTAGGGTAAGCGGATTTAGTTATCACGACACGTTCAGTATGCTAATTAAATTTTGTGCGCATACACAGATGATCGAACGTGCACAAAGCGACGCGGAGTACAAACGCGCACTATCCACGCTCTTCAGCACGGCGTCCAAATGGGTGAACAAAGCGGTCGACACAGCAGCCGACCTCGACCAAGCTACCAAACTGGAAACGTTCGTCGACGATCCCACAGAAGAGAAACACCTGCACCAAGCGATGTACAACCTCCGCGTGCTCATCGAGCGCCTTGCAAGTGGAAAATCCCTCGATAACTTGTTTGCGAATTTCCGCGAGTGCGCACTTGACGTCAAGCAGGACGAAGATATCAAATCGTGGTTCAACGATTTCTTCGCGTACGTTCGCAAGTGTCTCGAGGAGCCTAAATACGCGCATACCGACGAAGCGAGCAAAATTTACGACGTTCTTCGGAAGCGCTGGAAAGACCTCCTTAATGAGGACTCCGACACTGCTCGCAAGTGGAGAGATGACGTCACGAATCTGAGAAACGAAATGCGCGCGCTGCAGCAGGCCATCTGCAAAGACTCGGATATCATTCACGTGCGTCGGGCTCAGGAGAAGTGGCACAGTGACTTGGAGAGGATCGGTGCAGCTGCCAGCAAGGTTGGCGTTCAGTTTGCACTGGAGCAGGGTTCGTGGTTCTGGCAGGACGTGTTCAACGTGTACGCGCCGCGCCTTCTGAGAGCCGCGAAAAACATCCCCATACCCAGGTAAGTCTTTAAACGTTCGCGTCAATCCAGTGCAGTGCTGACTTGTTGCAGGACGGAGTACGTCGATCCAGAAGTTGACTTTGTCCTCGAGAGCCTGGATATCTCGTCCCTCAATCTGCTTCCGGGGCACGTCTACTTGCGCAACATCACAGATATTGACGTCACCGCGCCTGCCGGGGAATCTACCCACACCGCGTGGGGAACGCTCACCCACATCCGCATGCAAGCGCTTGAACTCAGACTCAAAGAGGTATCCTTCTACTACAAAGACAAAGTCGCCACTGTCGGCCCAAGCGAGTTCACGGGTATCCTGGAGTTCAATCTCCCAACGCAGGGTCTGGACGTTGACTTCAAGTTCCGGATGATACCTAACACCCCTCTGGGCCTCAAGGAACGTGAAAAGGCGCAACGGTTTTTCAAGGTCGAGCGTGTAGAAGTCCATCTGGCCGAAAACATCACATTCGAGGTGAAGGAATCTAATCATCCCATCATTGCTACGGTGTTCAAACCCGTCCTCCTCTCGAGGTTCCGCGAGGCGTTGGAGAGGACGCTCGAGGAACAGATCCGAGGCGTGTTTGACTTGGTCGACGGTATCGCATTCGACGTCTCGAACCGCGCTGAGGTGTTCGAGGACACTGGCCTTGGACACGGGACTGCTGTTGCGGCGGCCATCTGGAGCGAGATCGGTAGGATGAGGAGGATGGAAGGCGGGTTGTTGAGTGGTTGGAAAGCTACAGGAACGGGAATCATCAAGGAGGGTCTCCCGGGAGATGCGAAGCTTGCCATGGGTGCAGAACCACAAATTCTTCCAGGCGAGAAGAGGGGTCCCCTCGGAACTCACGCTGTACCACTTGGCGAGCGACCGGAACTTCAGGGTATCGTCGAAGGCGGGACTAGCGTGACAGAGAGCATCAGGCAGGCAGCACGAGAGGGCGCCAGAGAAGTCCAGTCATTTAGGGATGCCGTGCGTAGGAAGGCTTTCGAGGAGAAAAGGAGATCGGGGTGGAATAGCCATGCCTATGATCTCGGAGCATAAACGACGCCTTTTCAATCATGTTCGTTGGGATCAGTAACACTGAATGTATTTTACCGTCCGACGCTTATTGTAACCGTATGTCTTTTCGATCTTAATACACGGCTGTTATGATATCATCTCGGGAGAGCAGAACATATGTTACAAGTGAGTCGGGATGATCACTCCCGTTTGCGCTTGAGATTCGTCCCTGTTACTGGGCTTTACAGGAGCACACAATGGTCCCTTCTCCAGTTCAACATGTTCAGGTCCGTCAAACTTCGATTCCAAGGTCCTCTGCAAGGGCCGCGGCATCTTGCGGTGACAATGCGTCCGTTGCAATCTGCCAGAATCTGTAGTGACGTCAGTCGTACGTCCACCATGTCTTACCAGTAACGATGTCGTCGAGTTAGAAATGTACGAATACTGACGCGTTGAAAATCTTTCGTCTGCGAACCCATTCTGATCGCCAACGCGCCCAATCGACATCGATCCGAGCCATGTCTTCAGCGGACGTCATAGGTTGCCCGGTTCTCAGTGGTGTGAGGCTCTCTAGGAGCTTCTGAGTCTAAGAAGAGCAAGGTCACATGTACGCAAATGCGTGATCCAGCGGGATCTCTAAGCATCTCTCTTACAGTCACTTCTGCCTCGGCCAGTTGCTCGTCAATATCCGAATCTGTAGGCGTGCTTTTGAGCTTCGCAAGTTCTAAGGGCAAATATCGCCGAGTTAGCATGGGTCAGATCGCTGAACTAACGTATAGGTCAGAGGTGAACCTGTTGTAAGCTGTTTGACTTGTGCAGAAAGCGCGGAGTTGTCGTCTTCTACTGATTTACACTCCGCTTCGAGTCCCAGCAGTTCTTCCTGCGGTAGCGTTCCGACCTTGGCCTGATTTACCACGTAGAAGTTGGTCTTTCCTGTGCATATACGGGGTCCCGACGCATTATGCGAGCGCGGCTACTTTACCGGCATCCCAACGTACCGTAGGTTTTCTGCACGATCTCTCCCTTTTCGGTGAGGGCAACCAGAATTTTGGCTGTCAGGGTTTTCGGAACAGCACCCTTCAGATTAGCAGAAATATCGACAGCGCCGAATGGTCTGTTCATCTGTTTTTTGTTTGGAGAGGGAAGTGAGCGTTGGAAACGTGTGTATGCGTTCGTTCCTAACGGCTTGCTTGAATTGATCACACCATGACTGACCTTTTTCATGTACTGTAAAACCGCATCTTCCGCTATAACGCGCGATATCAGCGTGCTAAAGAGCTTCTTCAGCAGCCACCCTACCTTCTTGGCCTTTGAGAACTTTGACGTCTGGATTTTTTGCTTTACTTGCCATGGTCAGAGTCGCGAAGGATCGCTGGAGGACTTGTCGGAGGCACGTGACCACACCACAAAGCAATATTAATGCACCCGAGCCTTATACCCTGAAATTGGATGCGTGAGTTATCGGAAGCACGTGATCACACCACACATAAGCAAGTTCTATAATATCACCCGATGCCAATAGCGATTGTATACCTGTGGTGGCCCTGATATAAGGCCTAGGCGAAGAGACATCTAAAGGATGAAAGATGAAAATGTCGATTGCGCTGTCGCCCTTTCCATTACACCGGTAAGTAATGTACTGTAAAACTTACATAGCAGACACGTCAGGGGTTTAGGCAGCAATCGCAATCCTACGTTCATTGAATTCAAGGTCCTACCGCTTTGAGGCAGTGAAGAACGCGCGTAGGTGTCTATGCAAATGTCATCATTTTCAAATAGAGGTTTCCCGGTGTTCGTGCTGAATATTTCCTACAAGCAGAAAATCTGCTACCACAGGCAGGACGCTCATAGGACTGGCCCGCGTTCAAGGCTGTGAAGGTCCAGTGGTAATGGTTCTAGTTGCCGTGGAATTCATCGTCTACCTTACAAACGAGACAGACACATCGGAACCCACAAAGAGCCAAATCCGCCTTTCCTTTCATACGATCAATGCACACCATGGATGCAACCTCCTGCAAATGTAGACATGACCCAGTCCGGGAGCCCTTGACAACGGGTAACCGAAATTCAACGGAAGGCCCACTAATACCACTTTCACGTTGTTTGGACACAAGTGTCATATATCGTGATAGGGTTTGGCAGTGGAACTACAGTTCTTGTACGGGGACCAGAAGAAAGACCCTGCCAGGCATATCCCCACAGATCACAATCGCCCCGTCATCGCTGCGGTAATTAGATAAGATAAGCCCTGGTTTTCCCCATGATTCCGCGCGCGCTTGGGAAGACGCTTGAAGAGGAGGCCAGGGGTAGGTTTAATTTAGCATATGAAATGACCTCCAGCACCAGGGATGGGAGGAGCTGTCCAAGGATGCGGTACTCGGATAAGGGGACAGCTACCACGGTAGCCGTTTTGAGCAAGATTGGGCAAGCTAAGAAGTATGGAAAGTTTGGTAGCTGAGTAGGAAACGATCAGGAAATATCAGGAGAGTCTTCTTGGATATCTAAACCTCGTTAGGGGGCGGTCCCAGAAATATTCGGTATGTCAGCAGACAGGACTCAGATTGTCACGATCTTAACTTCGCCGTCTCTCGGACCTTTCTGCTTCTATGACATACAGAAGATTGGCCAGCTAGCTCCAATTCCGCACTTGTCCTGTGATCTTTTAAACTCTCCGTGACAACATCGTCTTGCATGCAGGGCTACTTCCTGATTCCAGGCTATTGTGTATATTCTGCATGCCCCTGCAGGGCACGTCGATCTGTGGTGCGATATTGCAGCTCCGGAACTTTGATTCGACCATATTCCACCGGCGAACATTCGTGGTCGTGCCAACTGGAACTCTCCGCCTGACTCCCCAACCATGTGGATAATTTCATTGCTAAAGAAGCAAGGGTTCAATGATCAACCATGTAGCAACCCAACGAACTTACACTTACCCCAGGATGAATAGCTACTCAGCACTTGATTGGAAAACGGATGAATGCTTTTACCTACAAAAATCGGTGCCGATAGTCTCGATCTAGACATTGGAGGGACATTCCTGTTGAGGAAAAGAAGGCCAAAGGTTTTGGAATCGCGGAATTTTGTTTGTTCTATCTACAATTTTTCTGGATTCACAAACGTCCGCAAGGCGAGAGACCACGGTAACAACGACCCATGGATCACGTGGCTTGCCCAATTATCGGGTCAGTTCAAAACCCCTGAAATATCATGTCCTTTGAAAATGTTCAGCTGTGCAAAGCTGCCAATAACCTGTACCACTCCATGGTATCCGTGACCCATGGATGGGTCACATGTCACACCTACTGGTAGTATTTCCCAAGTCAGCAAATCCTAAGTCTGCGATGGGGACACTACTCTCATCTGCACCAATGTCGAGGGATTGTTCTGAATGAACGTCTCATAACACTCCTGATCAATGGAAGTGCAGGAGGAAAAGACCAATTCCCTGTCCCATACTTCGGCACAAGAACTAAGTATTACTTGTATAATAAGCTTCTCGGGAGAGTTGGGATGGGTAATTTATGTGCCCATTGAGTCCAATCATCAAAACCTTGTTTTAATACTTAACGGCACAGCAATATCTCTGAGATTATCGTTTTCGTCTGATTACCCCATAAGATGTTCTCATCTGGAACCAAAGATTTGGACAGCCCTCCATGGCAGTGCTTCCAGAGCATCCCCATATTCTTAGGTCTCGGGGGGGGGACCACATCTCTGCCACCGATGCGGTGGAAAATCGGAAATTCCAACGGGTATCTCATTTTTAATGGAAAAAAAGGGAAACGAGCCATATGCAGCTGTTCGCTTGGAGATATGAGAACGTCATTTTGATTCTCATCATCTTCTTGTGGGACATGGCACCGATGTTTGGTGGAGGGCAGAGAGTACTGACTGCATTGTGCCCATCAATTACAGTTCTAGTCCACATTACAGGTACATTATTTGGGTGGCAAGCCAAGGAATCAAGGCAGAAACTCAGGAGAAATGAACCTACAAGATATGTTCTCATTGCACTTGCATCAAGGAAATTACTGGAACACAACTGATGAAGCATGATGAAAATGTAAGCCAAGCAAACCTTGGTTAGTTACACCAGCATGCAAAACTGTTGGCTCCTGGTTAACTGTAGGTGGACACAATTAGTGTATTCTATAATTGAGAATGCAGTTAAAAAGGGAATTCTGCCTGGTGGTTACAATGGACTCTGCTCACCAAATTTTGGTTGTTGCTGGTTGAAGTAGAATACAAGGTTTGCTCTGTGACATTGGATGGGTGAGCTTGGCAAATAATATGTTTCAATGTAGCTGAGCCATGGGTTGAAGAATAGTTGGCCCACAGATTATTATGCCACTGCCTTGGGTTGTAATGCATGAATTTGTTGTCTATTCACTCATTTGGCTGCTGCTACAGATCACATATGAATGCATTATGATATGAGGACCATGCATCACATGACAAGCTGACAAACAGTGACAACTCTCAACTGGACATCATGCCAAGCAGAGTACATGCTAGGGAGGAGATCAAGAATGCACTCTCCAACAGCTGTGATCACACATGTGGAGTTGGATGCTCAAACATTGGGTGATGTATAATGAAAGTAGGTGTAATGCTCAATGTAGACAACATCCTTTAATCATATGGTGCTAAAATGTATGGAGTGTTGTGCTATGGACAACAGGAGATTGAATGGGGTACAGTATAGATGTAAACCATCAAACCAAACCTGTCATCTGTGAGCACATCTTCCATGAATGGGTTGTGAATGACATGGACCTTGTAGTGATCTTTGTCCTTGGCAATTGTTTCTGAGATGTAGCTAGAGCATAGGCAGGTGTTAGCATGACTGCTGTGTGTATGATGGCTCGTATTCTCACCTGTTCCAGTTGGGTGTGGTCCATGAATCGCCCCATTGCTTTCTGCATGCATCAAACCATTTTCCACTTGTGACCAGAAATCCTCTCCCCTAGGGACATGGCCACCATGCTTTGCTTTTTCCTTTGAGGCTCTTGGGCAGAGTGGTGCCATGAGCCTGAGTCATCTTCCATTGGTGGTGAATTGTCCTCAACATCTTCCTCACAGTCAAGGAGCTCAGGATTTTCATAAGCAAGATGGTGCTAACACACAGAATTAATACAAAAATTGTAATTGGTATGTACCACTTACAAGTATAGCAAGTTGAGCAGTGCATGCTGGTGTGAGGCCTGAAGTGGGGCCACCAATTTTGTACTGCTGCACACTTTCAAACACAAAATCAGAGAGTGTGCATGTTTGGTCTCTGATGACACTATCTTGCAGCTATGACAAATGAATCAATCAGGATGGAGTTGGAAACAGAAAATGAGACATACCAGCTCTCAGAATGAATTACAAATGCTTGAGCATTGCTGCTTGATATATGCCATTAGGATTTTCTCTTGTGCTGGGTTACCATAGATATTTGTGAACCATAATTCTTTTTGGGATTGCTGGACCTTTGACTGGTGGAATTAGAGTGACTTAGAATCAGTATATATGGTTGTGAACCTCAATGTTGAAGTGGATTGTCATAAATGTGATCTGGCTAGCCTCAAAAATTATGTCTCCAGCAACAATATGGACATTAGCCTACAAGAAAGAAATGGATGAATGGCTGAATTTGTGTGCTAAATAAACTAACCTTCTGTTCATGTGATAGTGTAAATGTGTTTTTGAGTCAAATTTGCAGGTCTGCAAGAAGTTGTTGTGTGTTGTGGTGCACATTGGTCATTGCCTGGTTTTCCTTGATTAAGCCGAAAATGGCTGCAAGTAAGTATGAACATGTAGCAATATCTGCTTTCTGGAGGCCACACCCCATCTGCCAATGTATTAGTATTATGATTCTGTCACAAAGAGTTACCTGCATTTGCAAAGCCATAGAGGTTATGCCATAGGTCCTGCTCAGAATCACCAAAACTAAACTGATTGGTGAGGGCATCAGTAAAGTGAGTTGGGATGACATCTTCATCCAGAAGGGTGGGATTGATATTGGGATTGTTTTGAGCAGGGGAGAAGTGTGGGGCGGTGGATGGGGTATGGGTGAATGGGGTGGTGGATGGAGTAGCAAACAAATGACTAATAGACTGAGTAGATGGAGAGTTCCCAATATTAGAAAAATTGAAAGACATTGAGGGTCTTGGGTACAGTAGTAGAAATGAGTAGAGTGAGTTGATGGACTGGGGGAACCATGGAGGGCAGCTGAGTGAGTTTTTATGCACATTGGAACTGAGATAGGTGTCCACATGTTCATCCACATGTTTCCAACATGGACAGGTAGGATCATCAAAAGGCTGTACACAGGCATAACAAGACATGATGGTTTGCACACCACATCCAAGAATGATGCCCCTGCACTGGTTTTGCAAAGGTGTATCACAGCACAACTCACAGTGATATGCTGACTAAGGAACACATGACCAGTAATACAAACTAGTGTAGGTAGTTTTGGAGGATGATGAGCTGCAGGATTGTCAAGTCTATGGAGAGGAATATACTCAGACTTCAAGTTGGTTGAAGCTGAACAATTAACTACCTATGGAGAGGAATATACTGTAGGTAGGTAAGTAAGTGTTCCAATATAATGAATGGAAGGAGTCCCACCTCAGACTTCAAGTTGGTTGAAGGTCAGGTGCAGTAAAGAAAACATAAACTGCTAAGTGTCCGCTTTTGGATTACATAATGCTGTGCTTGGTGAACCACAACTAAGGTAAAAGTGATAAACTCCAACAGGTAGGTGCCAATAATATTGTGATCAGGAGGGGCCTGTCAAGTTGTTGTGGGCCCAGAGATGTAGTAATCATGATAGGTGATGCTTACCCAATCTATGGTACACAGATCCTGGTGCCAAAGCCCAACAGGTGTGTGCACTGATGTTTGTCAGCCATATTGTGGGATATACTGTGGGTGATGTCTGGATGACCACTGGATGAATGTCAGATAATGTGGGTTCAATCTCCAAGTCAAAAAGTAGATTAGATGTGCATATGCACCACTGATACACACAAGGGTGTTTGGCAGCCTCCTCACTGGATGCAGCCTGGGTGATGTGCAGATGATTGCTGGATGAAATCCAGACAGTGCAGGTCTGATCTCCAAGTTGAACAGTGGATGGGATGTACACACTATCTGTGTGAGATGGTGCAATGTACATAGGTCACTATCAGTATTAGGATACTCCATCTGGGAGGCCGTACCTGGGTTGTCCAGGTTTCAAACCCAGGATGAACTTGATTTTCTTCATCAGACATCTATCAGCTTGTGCTATCAAGTTATGCCTATCATGCTAAATACAAGTCCTAGTATTACACTCATGCCAGTCATGGCAATCCAGTAGCTATGAGAGCATTTGATTCACATTTATCTGACTTTGAAATCACAGTTAAAAGGGGTGGGTTCAACCTGTGGCCATCTGACTTGCATTGCTGTGTATCAAGGGCTCATCCTGTTATCCCATATGGAGCATGCCTTCACACTCTATCCTTCACATCCATATGCAAAAGGTCAGGCCATTATCATTGGTGGGAATATTCAAACACCAAACTCAGCACACTGGTATCCTTGCTGTGGTAGGCAACATTGATAGAAGTTACCATCTTCCTTTCACTGGTATTAGGCAATGACAACCATGATGCATCACTGATACTTGACATAACCCTACGACATACATCTGCAAATGTAAGTGAGGTCTAAGAGACTCTTAGAGCCCCCATTTAGCAAGTAGTATAAGTGCTGTCTAAGTGTGATGTAAAGTGATGTTCTTCACTCTTCATTAGATTATCACACAATGCAGTGATGTGTTGGATATGTTATTACTCATCTGATTGGCACATGATATTGTCTAACACTATCAAAGATACAATAAGATGTTAAGGAGCTCCTATCATCTCCTTTCCTCATGCAATCAAATCATCAACTAATATGGTGTAGTCCATAAGTTCAGTTCCCTGCAAGTTCATAATATGACAAGTTATACTTTGATGTATAGCATGATTGTCCTTGAGACTGAAATCAAGTGCTGAAAACATTCTGCTGGAATATTCTCTGAGTACCAGTTGCAAGGCCATGCCTGTGAGGGCAATCACCACTTTGAGGTCCCTTTGCTTGATGTCAACAAACCTACAATACTGCTTCTCTCCCCACAGGAGAGTGAGGACAAGTTGTACAAGTGCAGGGTGGCCAAAGGGAACCACAGTGATGCTATTATTGGCTGCATACTTAAGATGATTGAGTACACACGTCAAACAGAGAAAGGATTTGTACCATTTTAGTTTCATCTAGCCACATGAAATCTTTAAGGAGGTATGGGATCCTGTTGGAGTTTATCACTTTTACCTTAGTTGTGGTTCACCAAGCACAGCATTATGTCATCCAAAAGCGGACACTTAGCAGTTTATTTTTTCCTTACTGCACCTGACCTTCAACCAACTTGAAGTCTGAGGTGGGACTCCTTCCATTCATTATATTGGAACACTTACTTACCTACCTACAGTATATTCCTCTCCATAGGTAGTTAATTGTTCAGCTTCAACCAACTTGAAGTCTGAGTATATTCCTCTCCATAGACTTGACAATCCTGCAGCTTGTCATTGTCCAAAAGATCCAGTCTTTGCATAGCTGCACCTCTTCACCATGCCTTTGTACTGGAACTGTGAGGCCATAGAGTGGTAATGCCAGGATGCATGCAACACTCCTGAAGTTGGAGCATATGTTCATCACAATCTCCTTCAACTTGTTTGTCTTGCTCATTATGTTGGTTCTTAACCAGTTGCCTGCAGTGCTGTCAGATTGTCAACAGTAATGTTCGCAGGCTTACCTCCAGTGTGGCCTAACATAGTTTCCTGCAATGCCTGTGTAATTATTGTAGATAACTCTGATCTCTTGGGCAGGAGGTTTGTAATAAAAAGGCACCACTTCAGGTTGAAATGCACAGTGATGCTGATGTCAGCTGCTTGAAGTCCTGGGTCAATAGTGGCTGAGCTGCTAGCATCTGGTGTTGGATGTACTGGGGGCAGTGAAGCCAAGGCAGAGCCTTGTGCAATACTCCACATTGTTTGACCAACTTGCTGTAAAATGTGTTAGAGTTGCTTACATACATTTGCTACAATGCTTTGTACTCACTCAAATAATGGATTGCCTGATGATAACAAAATGCTGGTTGGACACTTCCTCTCCACCTTGAAGGGGCCTTTCAATGTGCCTTATGCATTGCATTTGAGTGGAATATGGAAAGACATGGGATGATAAGTGGTGTAGCCATCTTGTGACAAGGGCTGATGGTGCATAATTGAAGTTTTGGGGTGAATACAGATATGCCATTGAACCCATTGGATGTCCAAGATCTGTGGGGATTGGTGGTGTGGTTCTGTAGCTAGTGTTGGCAGGATTGAAGGGGACCAGTGGCACAGTGCTGTAGCTAGTGTTGGTGAGATTGAAGGGGACCAGTGGCATGCTGCTGCAGCCAGTATTGGCAGGATTGAAGGGGACTGGCAGTGCAGTGTTGTAGTTTGCATTGGCAGGATTGGAGATTGGGGGATGAGGGTGTTCATGTCCAGTGTCTGTGGTAGCCAGGAGACCTTGATCATGGTCATCAGGGTGCTGATAGTGAAGAAAGTTTGCTTGAGACCACAGTTGCTGGTCAATTGTGGATGCTGTCAATGGTTGCTTGTCCACAATGTTCAGCTGGCTTGCCACTGGGTTTAAACCAGATGAAGCAGGGTACTTTGGCCTTGTCTGTAAGAAACCAAAGTGTTAGTGTCTTTTTCTGAGTGCACAGATTTGCTCACCTTTGCTTGTTTGCTTTTGGCCTGTGAGCTCATGGTGGTTGAAAACACAATGCATCCTTGTCCAGGAGACATTGTGGCTTATGTGTGTGTATCTTATCGCATATATTGGGCATCAATCAAATACAAATTTTTATACAGGGAAAGTGTGGAGAGTTTCATTACACAATGCAGAATGATCATGCTAATTGACTAAAGAAAAGAAAAAGAAGAGAACAAATAGCCACTGAGGCTGGCATGGCAGTTAGAGTTGTGATGATGCAAAGAAGGATTAAGGCTTACTGAAATTATCATGATCAATTTTCACTTTTGTCTTCTTCACTCACATCTGCATCACTTTCATCAACATTAATGGAAGTGGCCAAGAAGGCCATCAGATTATCTTTGGAGTCGAGCACTTTGTTGTCTGCAAGTTTACCTGTGACTTCCTCTCTCCAATGTGAGCAACATTAAATCCTGTCCATAAGCCCCAATGTGGTACTCTTCCTCTTCTTCCAATTGACTGACTGAGTGATGCTCCATGATATCTTTGAAAAGCTGGAGATCTTTAGTCGACTGAAGGAACTGAGTCTCTTCTTCTTCTTGCATTGCAAGGAGGAAATCTCTCCAGTGGTCAATAGCCTTGATCTCCCAAGCAGTGGAAAGAGCATGGAGTTGCCTCAATTCTTGGTTGGCCTCCTTCATTTCCAAAGCCTTTTGGAAGGCTCTCTTGGACAACCCCATCAATCCATGGACAAAAAGTGCTCTTCCCTGAAGAATATTTGTAAGAACATATAGTGCACGTACAGGTAGATGGGAGATTTTACCACTTGTGCATCTTCCAAGGTGATATCATTAACTGATTGTCTGCCAAGAGACTTCTTGGCAAAGCAGAGCTCAATAGCACTGGGCTTGCTGTATGGCATGAACTTGGTATGAGAATGCTTAACATGAGCTGATAGATTATGAGCAGCAGGAGGGATGGACACAGAAAGATTGTCCCCTGAGTAACTCTTGTTGTGAAGTTGAAGTGGCATCTGCACTTCCTCAGTGCTGAGGCTCTGAGGAGGTGAGGGAGGAACATGGGAGGGTGATCCCTTGTGATATTCATATTGATGGGTTTGTGGAGAGCTTGGAGGAGGGGTAAGGTGGTGAGACATAGCTGTATGTGCATTTGGCCTAAGATGTGAGTATGCATGCTGTTGGTGGGTGAAAGCAAGTGGAGTTTGAAAGACTTAGAAAAATTTGAATGCTGAGCACTGAACAGCTCAGGAGCACAATGATGGAACCTCCTCAACACCAGAAACATACCTATCCATTACCCCCCACTCTTTGCTTGTTGATGGAGTCTGGGGATTGTACTGCCCAGTACCATGAGAAGTCAGGTTGGATATATGGTTGGTCAAAGAACACACTTGAACAAATACAAGATGATTGATATCAGAAGAATTGGGAAACAAATATCTACTGGCCTTTCCAAAGTTTTGCAGAATGGAAACTGGGCAAATTTCTTGCTGAGAACCTCACACAGGCTCAAATCAATACTTTCCTCAAACTGGATTGGGTGAGTTCTGATACAGTTCAGAATGTCCATATTATAAATTCCAACACAGTTGGACAGTCAAAAACCATCATTCAAATCAGCATGCCAGCTCCTTGACTGGATGGACACCCTGCCATCAGGGCCAGGGTGGCAAGTAATGCAACTCAAGGTTGATGGCTATGACACAGGGAAGAAGATTGATCTTGTTTATTGCAATGGACTAGAGGTTGTAGAGAGCCTTTTTGGAAACCCAATTTTTGCCCAGAATATGACTTTTGACCCACTTTGCATACAGAGAAATGTAGAGGAGGAATATGGGGAATGGTTCACAGCACAGGAGGTGACATGTATCCAGGTTAATCATTCTTATTTTTCACCAAATCTTCTAGTTGCTAATATTAATTAAGGATACTCTCCCTGAGGGCATGACCCTTGTTCCTGTCATTGCTGCTTCAGACAAGACACCCATTACAAGGTACACAGGTGGGCTTGAGATGCATCCACTTTTCCTCATGATTGCCAATATTGATGCTGACATCCATATGAAGGCTACAGCACATGCCTGGCAATGTGTGGCTTTTGTGCCAGTTGTCAAATTTGAGGTTCATCCAGATTACTGGACAATTTTTTGGTCCTGGCTCTGGCACAAATGTGTCAACATTGTCACAGAGAAGCTGAAGTGTGCCACAAATTGCAGAGAGTTCATGGCTGATCTGTTTGGTGACATCTGATGTTGTTACACACCTTTGGTTGCATGGACTGCAGACCTGCCAGAGCAACAGCTGATTGCCACTGTAAGTAGAAATGCATCCCCAGTCACTCTGACAACTCTTGACAAATTTGGAGACTCAACTTGTCAGCCCTTCTGCATGAAAGCCTACACACTTGACCTCATCCATACTGTTAGTTGTCAAAAGAAACCTTGGGACCTTGATGCCTTCCAAAAGTTGGTGAAGGCTAATCATCTCCTTGGGGTACATCTTCCATTTTGGTGGGATTGGAAAAATAGCAATGTTTGCTGTTTCCTCATCCCCAAAATTCTCCACATGGTCCACAAGCTCTTCTTCAATCATGTGTTAAAGTGGTGCAAGGAGGTGGTTGGGAGTGATGAACTTGACACCCACTACAAAGTCCACCACAAACATGTCAGGGTGCACCACTTTGCTGCTGGTGTATCACATGTGAGCCAGATGACAGGCCATTGTGAGTCAAAGTGTGGAAAGGTGGTGAAAACCAACCAAAACCAACACCAAAGACAAATATGAGTGAGTGGTGGTTTACCTCCACAGAACCTGGAGGGCAGAGAAACCTAAAGTGGGGGAAATTTCAATGGCAGGTGCTCCTAGTGCAAGTCAATGATGAGTTATGCAGGAGAAGATGAATGAATGCTGAGTGAGAAGGGGATGCTGACCAGAGTGAAGGTGTTCAGCTGAAAGTACTTGGGAGTAATGGACTTTGATAGAATATGCTCCTGGTGCAAGTCAATGATGAGTTATGCAGGAGTGGATGGATGACTAAGCAGACTTGCTGACTAAGTGTGGATGAAGCTTCAGATAATGATGGAGGTAGATAGACCCCTTTGTAGAGCCTCAACTACCAATGATATGAATGAAGACAGATAGACTCTTCTGAGTGAGCCTCAACTGTTGACAATGAGTTATGCTGAGCTGAACTGACTGCTGAGTGAAGGCTTCTGGTTCACTGGGGGTGTAGCTAAGTACATGGGGGTTTATATACTGTGGGGGGAGTGCAGCTTGTGACAAACAAGGCACAAACACTTGGTAAGTAATGAGTAAGGACTGAGTAATCATGATGAGTAAGCAAGAAATGAAAAGTAAGCAAGCAAAGAAGATTGGTAAGTATTGGCAATAAATGAGTCAAGGACAGTCAAAATATCACAGAATGAGTCAAATAGAGTCAGAAACTGAGTAAGTGCACTGATATCACATTAGGGGGTGGTGATGCAAGTCAGATCTCAGTGGAGACATCTCTAGATCCAGAGATGGCATGACAGATGGATGGTGTTTCCAGATAGGGAAGTATTAATTCCAGAATTGAAGGGCATGAGTCAGGTGTCAAAGGGGCTAGGGCATTGAGGGTCTGTGGGGAAATGGGAGCATAAGTGATTGCATCTCCCACCCTTTCATCCTCTCAATGAAGTTAACAAAAGCTTCATGAATGGGGCTCTGATGGAGGAGGAGGAGAAGGGGGGACATCTTCTGCTGGATCTTGCAGTAAGAAGGCAAGATGCATGTCATACTTGTCATGAATGCAATCAGGGAGGCTGGAGAACAGTATACTATGCTGCAGCTGTCACAATGCAGGAGAATGATGGTCAAGATTGGAATAAAGATGGTGCAGGGAGCAGGGAGGAATGATCCATATGCTTCATCAAGAGGGGAGACCAAAATGACCACATAAGACCTTTATAACCAAGTGACAGACCTGAGGCAACCAAAGAATGTCCTTCTGGAAGTCATACTGACAAGGAGAACACACTGACCAAGCTGCATGGGATGAGATGGGGCTGACAATGATGAGATGAACCAGGGGCTCCAGGACAGAAGCTGGTGGGAATGCCTGGCAGATATACATAGCCACTGTCTCTGGCAAATGAGACAAGTGAGATGATTGACAAAGAGGTGGCCATGATTGATGGACTTAGTGAAATGAGCATCTGATGGATGGAGTGCTGTAGAAATGTGCAGGGTGTGAGGATCCTCTCCAAATTTGGAAGGCAGAACCATGTGGCTGAGCACTTTAAGTGAGTGTGAGAACAGAGTCAATATCTTTGGAAATGGTGGAGATACAACAAAAACCAGAATGCCATCCACAGGTGTGAAAAACCTTTAATGTGCACTTAACTTGCTTCCTCTTTTCTCTTTAGCACCAATGACTCATTCTTGTGTGAAGGATGACTGTTAAAATCCAGCAGTCTTTCTATGCATGAGGCCTTTAGTCTTCATCTGCATGGCATGGGCATTGCATGCAACTTGTTGACAAGTTAGGCAGAGTCAGCTGTAACCATGTCCACAACACCTTTGGTGTGTGACAGCATATCTCTCAGCAGCTTCTGCATTGCAGCTTTTTCCACCCCAATTTTTCCTGATGATTACTGTGGAAAGATGAAAACTTCCATTGCACCATTATGATGGACTTACTTGGGCAACAATAGGCCTGTGTGATTACTGATGATATGTGATCTGCTTCACATAACATTGGAAACAGAATCAATATATCTGGAAGGGCACAAGGTCCACTGAATACCTCCTCTTGAAATCTGGCTTTCATGTATGACACAATGCAGTCTGTTAGTTCCATTCACCATACATGGGGGGTTTTAGATGTGTCTTGCATAATATTCATGCTTGGGGTGGATGAGGTCAGAGTTGTATAGTGGGCAAGCTGCTTGCAGCTTGTTGGAAAATTATGGCATGTCAGGATGCTTGCCTCAATATTTTACTGTGATCCGATCAATATGTTGTGACACTATATGTGCTATTGTTGTTGGGCCCATCTTATGTTGTGACAGGGGTGGATCTTACTAGATGGACCCATCCTTGTTTTATGGCAATATAAATGATATTACTGAAGGGCCTGTCCATACATTATGACCAGATAAATAATACTGCTGAAGGACCCATCCTTATGTTGTGACCACATAAATGATAATGCTGAGGGCCCTTCCATATGTTGTGATGCTATAAATGATATTACTGATGGGCCTGTCTTTATGTTGTGACAGGCATACATGTTGCTATTGATGGGCCTGTTCATGTGTTGTGACTGTGTAATTGATATTACTGACAGGCCTGTCCTTATGTTGTGACAGGGGCATATCTTACTAGATGGGCCTGTCCATCTCTTGTGACAATGTAATTGATAATACTGACTGGCCTGTCTTTATGTTGTGACAGAGGTACATTGTACTTTGGATGGGCCTGTCCATATGTTGTGATGATACAAATGATATTGCTGAAAGGCCCATCTTTATGTTGTGACATGGGTGCATCTTACTAGACATGCCCATCCATGTGTTGTGACCCTGTAAATGATATATATTGAAGGGCCTGTCTTTATGTTGTGACAGGTACATCTTACTATGGACAGGCCTGCCCATGTGTTGTGATGGTATAAATGGTATTATGGAAGGGCCTGTCCATATGTTGTGATGCTACAAATGATATTACTGATGGGCCCATCTTTATGTTGTGGGAGGGATGCATCTTACTAGACAGGCCTGTCTATGTGTTGTGACACTGTCAATGATATTACTGATGGGCCCATCCTTATGTTGTGGCAGGTGTACATCTTGCTATGGACAAGCCCATCTATATGTTGTGACCCTATAAAGCATATGATGGGTGGGCCCATCCATATGTTGCAACCTTCTTCATGATACAATAGGTGGGCCTGTCCTGATATTGTGACTGGGGTGCACCCTACCATGGATGGGCCCATCCATGTCTTACAGTAGCTCAGCATACTTACTTGGTCATGGGCCTGTCTATATGTTGCAGCATCCTTACCCTCCACAGGCCCTCCCATATGTTGTGGAATTGTGCTTACAGGCCCATACATATGTTGCTCTCACTATAGGCCCTCAGGGCTGTCCATGTGTCATGGCTAATCTATTTAGACAGGCCCATCACAGGGTCCATATAAGTGTTGGCATTTTGGCATGCAGGCTACCTATATGTTGTGACTAAATGGACTACATGGGGTCTGAATTTTGGGTGATCTTCAAATCCAATACAGTACCAGTGGCACAAAGAACCATTGCTATCTTTGTGCTTTTTCTCTACATATAAACAATGAGGATAATTTGACAGAAGAATAACCTGTACTCACCATACTTGTATGACTGTGGGTGCTTTCTCAATCAGATTCCTTGTTTAAGATAATGTCTGAGGTGCAAAGTGCACCTGATTACTCCCACTTGTATAATCTATTTAGACACAATATTGCTGTTTTGATGTCGGTCCAGCCATATAGTACCCATGTCTAGCCAGTTTATGGCTGGGTACTATGTACTAAATTAGAAAGTCCAATGTTTGTACGTTGTGTAGAATAGATTATATAAGAATCAGGTGCACTTTGCGCCTCAGACGTTATCTTAAACGAGGAATCTGATCGAGAAGGCGCCCACGGTCGGAGTTTAAAAGAAGGATCTACATAAATCATGTCGCCGAGTGTCCAAGATCTCTGAGAGCCCTTCCAGTTACTGTTATCGACCGTCGTAGGTTATTGACGTGTTTCCAAGTTGTGGCGACACTAACCAACCTGCCCGTAACAGCAGATCGTGAAACGTTCTATCCGCGACATGGCACCTCAACGTAACCGCCAGAACGTGTTGATGAACGATCAACACCGTCTTTCTGAACAGCTTCAGCTGCTCTCTCACTTCAAATACTCAGATCTCGATATGCCTTATGCAGGTGTCGGCGAGCACAGTAACAAGGCTACGCGGAACCCTGACACCAATACCATGATTCGCATTCTCGACACCATCGCGGTCGCACTGACCACCGGCCTGGCCGGAGATGTCTACGCTGCGGCATTTGACACCAGTCGGGGTCTTAAGCTTGTCTTGGCAAAGAACGTACCTCCCTCAGCTAACGACGATGGCGCCGTTCGTGCATTGTTCAGCCAAATCACCGCTCCCCAGGCTCCTGCCGTAGGGGACCTTTTGCCTTTCCTATTTACTCGTTGCGGAGCGAACATCAGGAAGCGGGTCGCGAAGATGGGTGACACTTTGAACAATTTCTCCAGTGGCATCGAGGAAGCCTTAAAGGAATACGAATCCTTGCCCTCCATCGACGAAGAGTTTCCCTCATCTACGGATTATCGCGATCTCCTGTATGGTGACGGAGCGGTCACATTTGCGGAAATGATACGTGATCTGTTGAAGGCTATCAAGGACACCGTTACACGTTTCGATTCACAGGATCTATACACAACGTCAGGCGTCCACCGCTTCTTCAGCACCTTTGTGCTCATGGTCATCGTTCTCAAAAAGTCCCGTCTGCTACGTTGGCTCTGCCAATCAGACGAAGTTATCTATCGCCACCGCAAACTGCAGGCGGAACAGCTGAAACGCCGCCTTGCTAAGGTCAGCCAGTATTCCGAGGGCATTGCAGACGTCATCACGTATACGAGGCGCTACTTCCCACAAGGCATTGCATATTGCTGGGTCGACCCGATTCATGGCACGGGCGAGGCTACAGTTAAGCTAGTAGGCGGTTACGCTATGGCCATCGAACGGGCACTTGGTGTTCCTCCCATGAGGGACACTCTAGCCACACTGCACGATAGCTTTCCAGAGATAAGAGTGGAGTGGGGCACGTCTCGTTCCATCACGACTCGACTCCACGCCGAAATCCACATCCTGCTTCATCTCAGCAAGTCGTTCGATGATAATTTGGATAACTCTCAGCAGCGGCCTATCGGATGTAGCAAACGGAGTTGCTTATGTTGCACTTTGTGGATTTGGGCGTATAATAAGAGGTACGGGACAAATTGGCTGACGTCTGGGTCCCATGGTAAGCCTTACTCCGCTTGGGCTTTGCCTGGTTGCACCTACGCACATGCTTGGGTGAAAGGCGGGCAGAGCGAGGTTGATGTAACTGTCATGGACGGGGTCCAGGAGCGCCTGACTCAGACTATTACTAAGCTATTTCCAAACCAGAGGAGGCTCTCTGATGAACATCGGTCGAGCGGGTCGGAATTAGGGGGAAGTGACTCGGAAGAGGAGAGGACGACGCACCGACGGGATCTGGTCCGTGACGTCCGTCAGGAGTGGGACGAATTCAGTAGAACTTTTGGTATTACTAGACGCCTTTAGGCCCTGGTCTGTAACACTGTGGCAGTTTCAATGTTATCACATGCTTTAAAGAGTATTCCAAGGTGCAAATAGCATATTTTCTTTTGAATCAAATTATGAGACTCTTGTAAATCTTGATTTTGAGCATGCATATATAATTTATCTAAAGTTTATATTGTGAGAAATGTTGAGATGTGTATCTGAAGACAATTGAAAACTACATATTGCAAGAATGTCACAAGATTATTGACAATAACATCTTCCTAAAAAGTTGGTAACAACAGTAAAAGTTGAAATTTGGAAATTGCTTCATAGGGATGCATAATTCAATATTATGCAATCCATCCTGAGATTATCAAAACATAAGATTATCTGTGTCATCAAAAGGTGTTACCAAACTAAATAACTAAATATCAGTTCCAGGATGCTCAGAAGACATTGGGCAGAGAGTTGGCCAATGATCAGCCAGTGACTGCCCAGTGATCTCTACATTAGGCATTCTTTTTGTATCTCCAATGTGATCAAGCATATCTAGGCAATGGTAGATTGGCTAATCTCTAGTAATGGTACTGGAGGGAAGTGTGCAGCCTGTTACACCTTGCCTTGCTGGTTTACCATTTTCATTCATGCTGTTATGCAGTCATGTGTGTGCTCATTGGCAGACTCCTAACAGTCATGGTGGTGGTCTGAAGCATGGTCTGGATCTCACTCCACCATCCTTGGATGCATCTAGTGGACTCCAACAGTCCCTATGGTGTGATTCTCTCTTCTCTGACACTGCATCCAACTGTGGTCTGATTGTATACATGTACAGTTCCCCTATCTTGTCTTCATGTTTATCCCTGTATGGTATGTTTGTTATGTTTCACCTTCACCACCTGTCTGCCCCCTTGCTGTGCCTGTCTGATTGTGCAGCCACTTTGGATCTTGCCATCCACAGCTACTGAGTCACTCTGACTCATTTCTATTTCATTGTTTATTCTGCAATGACTTACTGGTTCTAGATGTGTTGTATGCCCTCCTCAGGAGGTATGTAAGTAGATGTACAATACTCTGTATCTTCAGTTTTTGGCTACCTGGCAACTCACCTCAAATATATCTCCTCTTCTTGCTCCTCTCCATGTTGGGTTTCACTCCTAACAGTAAGGACTAGTTGAAGTTGAGGTTAAGTAGATGAGCCATAGGGGTTATGACAAGTTTGGCTCTCAGTGTGTCTCTCTGTCCACCCATGCCTAGTCCATTTGACAAAGTCACTGCATTGGAGCTGTTGGAGCATAACAAAAGTGAAAAACTCTAGTGGATTATACAGAGCTCAACAGTCTCAAGGCTTCTTGCTCTTGTGGTTCCTTTGTGCTATCAAAAATGGAACCACACCTTTCTACCCTTAATCAAATCCATTGGTCTACAGGTAGCCATTAGGCTATAAGTCCTCCATAGACCACTCCTATGTTGACAGGTTACCTTTGGGTTGTAATTTCTCCCTCAGCCTCCATTCACACTTCTTGTCAAAGTGTCTTTGCCTTATTGTAACCCCCCAGTACCACCTCACCCCTGAGGATTGTTTGGAAGAGGACTTGGAGTCCAGCCACCTATACCCCTACACCCTACTACTGCTTTTCTGTCTCAACAGTGTGAGTCAGGTCATCACAAGTTCCAGAGAAGAAGACAATGTATCAGAGTCCATGGATCTCAGACCAGTTTTAGACAACAAACCAGAAATGTCTGGAATGGAATTAGGTTATGCAGAGTCCAATCCAGAGATGCCTGGATCATCATAGAAGACCTTTGCATATATGGAATCACAGATTGCAGTGATCATCAAGTCTGCCCAGCAAGAGGCCACAAAAACTGTTTTGGAAAGGGATGCTTTTTATGACACAACCCCTAGTGCAGAAACACTAACCCATTGGTACACTCAAGAGTTTGAAAAGTCCCCAGAGTTCCCTGTCAGCAGCAACAGTAAGGGCAAGGAACCCAGGGGAGTCAAGGGTAGCATGTACACAGTCCCACCTCCCAATGGAGGAATGGAGTTTGATATTAATCACCCACAAGAATATGGTGGGAGCCATAAGACCCTACAACATTGGGTAATGCAGGTAAAAGGATACCTTGCACTGAACTCCCATGTCTACCAGTCCAATCATCAGAAGATTGCCTTCACTCTTGCATTTATAACAAAAGGTGCTGCTGCATCATTCACAGAGAACTATCAGAATGAGCATGATATCCAAGGGTACATCATCTTTCATGATACCTTTGACCAGTTCATTGAAAGACTCAAAGCCACCTTTAAGTCTGGAGATAAAACTGTGCTCACTATTCTCAAACTCTCCTTTGTCAGTCAGGGGAAATATGAGCTAGGGGCTTATATTGCAGAATTCATGGCTCTAGTGAATAAAGCTGGTCTTTGAGAAGACTCCCATGAGGGAGGAAAAAAGGAAGAGGTGAAACTTCTGGAATGATACTCACATTTTACAAGGGTTTTGGCAGAAGATGACATCCTTCTCCCTCATCACCAAAAGGAGTTGGATCACAAAATCTGATGACTAAAGGACAAATTTAAGCCCAAAAAGGCATCAGTTTACCCAATGTTCCCTGATGAACTTAAAATCCTCAACAAGTTCTTAGAAGAGAACCTGAAGTGTGGAAAAGTTTTGCCCATCAACTTCTCCACAAGCAGCACCAGTCTTTCTCATTGCCAAGAAAGATGGGAAGAAGAGGCTAATCCAAGATTACTGCTACTTACAGGTGTTTGCAAAATGGTGTGGAAAATGTGTGTGACAATTAGTCCATTTGGATATCACTGGGATAGGACCCCAAAACCACCTCTATGGTATTAGTGTGTACTGTATGCATGTGTCAAAGTTGCACAACACCCCTGACTTCCTCTTAGAGTGGAGGAGGAGCAGGTTGGGCTGCAGAGCACAGAGGTCAAAGTCTCTGACCACTGGCTGGTGAGATATGCAATGAACAATAAGTGGAGGAGTACAGAGGAAAGTTTTGGGGACAGAGGTTGGAGTCAGAGGTCAGAGGGCAGATGGGAGGGCATTGGGTTCAGCTAGTATGCTCCCCCCTTGCATGAGCTCAGCCCTCATATTTTGGAGGCAGAGTGGACTCAGAGGAGTGGAGATGCAAGCCAATAAATGTATAACAGGTTAGCAGTACCTCTGACACAAGGGATAGAAGATAGGGACAATGGGGACCTTAACTGAGATAAAGGAACTACTACAATGAGGGGAAAGAGGGTAAATACCAATGGAGTGGAAGAATGGAGAAAAGCCAACACATGGGCAGAACCCTAACTGGAATGCAGGGTGGCAAGTCTGACATCCCACTAAGCTGACCAAGTTCTGGCCTTCCTGTGACTGGCCTGAGAGCAGAGGTGAGCAGAGGTGGTCAGAATGTGGACTGGGGACCTCAGAGAGGTGTGGAGATGTGTCAGGAGGGTTGGAGGAGCATGGGAATGCATTGATGTGCACCTGTTACCAAATGTGCAATCCCTCTTTGATGAATTGGTGGAATCCCAATACTATGCTAGTTCAATATCTGTTGGGGTTTTACTAATCTTTGTGTCAAGGAAGGTGACAAGTGGAAGGGCACATCCATTACTCCATGAGGGTTGTTTGAACTGATGGTGATGTTCTTTGGACAGTGTAACTCACTGCCTTCCTTCCAGCAATACATGGATAAAACCTTCAAAAGACAAAGAGGAAAGCAGGTGGGATATATGGACAACATCATCGTTCATGCCAAAACTGTGGAGGAACTTTGGAAGTGCATTGAAGAATTCCTGGTAATCACTCAGAAGGAAAATCTCCACCTCAAGATATGCAAATGTGTCTTCAAGGCTGAAGAAGAGGAATTCCTAGGAATGATAATTGGAAAAGGGCAGATCAAGACCTCTCCTATGAAGACTGATGCAATTGCTACCTGGGAGGCCACAGAAAATCTCACTACTCTCCACCAATTCCTGCAGCTCTGTAACTTCTATTGGAAGTTTATCCCCTCCTTCTCCTCTGTTGCCTGACTACTTCACAACCTTACAAAGAAAGGGGAGTCCTACAAGTGGACCTCTGAGTGTGAGGCTGTCTTTTCCATGCTCAAGTCTTTGTTATGCTCCTCCCTGGTGCTTAAAATCCCAGATTTCACCAAACCCCTTGCATTGTTTACTGACATGTCAAAAATCAGGACTGGTGTGGTCCTTGCTCAGAAAGGGGACAATGGGGAGTGGCACCCTTGTTCCTACCTTTTGCAGTTGCTCATAGGTGTGGAACAACACTATCAGGTTTATGATCTAGAAATGCTGGCTGTTATCCATGCCCTGAAAGCCTTCTTCCCCTATCTCCTGGCCCCAGTGGAACCTACAGTGGTCTACACTGACCACAAAATTTTGGAGTACTATTGGGAACCTCAGTAGCTCACAGCTTGACAAGCCCAATGGGCCTCTATCATCCAATCCTACCCAATTCATTTCTCCTGGAAGCCCAGATGCCTTTCCATCCTGGATGATGTCTTGTCATGCCACAATACCTCCAAAGAACCACCTTCTACTGCCACCATCCTTCCTGAGTCCCCATGGCTTGAGAGGGGGTGAGCTCCACAGTCCACCATCTCATTTCCCCTAATTTTTCCATCTCTTCCCAAAAATGCGAAATAAAATTACAGAAAACTGTCAAAATCAATCACTGGCCTACTGCTGTCCCAGCTGAGGAACCTGTAAAAGGAGCAAAGCTGCTGAAACAACCAAAAAATAGTTGCCATGCACCCTATGCCTGCCTGAAGAACCTGTAAAGGGGGCTAGGGGTGTCTATGCCATCTCTGTGAACCTGTTTGAACATGTCAAGTGCAATATGTCAAAGGATTGAACAGGCCTGGAACCATCCAATAACATTCAGGTGCAAAAAGATGTTACAAAAACCTTCAGAACAACTCAGCTGTACATTCCCCCATCACAATGACAACACTGCATGCATTATGTCATGATCACCCAAGTGCCAGACATCCTGGACAGAAGGCAATGTTGAGTAAGATGAAAAAGGAAGTATGGTGGGAAGGAATGTGGAAAAACATCAAGAATTATGTGGCCAGCTGTCCAGTATGCCAGACAACCAAGGTTTCCACTT